CTGCCTCCAGCTTTTGGCGAACTATTTCAGCTCTCTCATAATGTGCACTGCCAGTAACAAGGAATGATCCAATGTACTAAGAAGAAACTTGTCGCATATGGAAAAACCAAACCTCAGCCTTTTTCATAAATGAAAGGTGTTCTCCGGCGTCGTTGAGAAAAACGTGCTGAGATCCCGTTGCTTTTAACTGACATGTCGCCTGACAATTTCGAACGTTCTTATGCATATTTGCAGCCACATATACAGCCTCAAGGCAATGATTGAAGCGAAACTTGAATAGGCATCAATGGTAATTTGCTTTAACACAAAATATGTCAGGCTACATTGTTCATAATTTCCAAGAGTCTGAATAACCTTGAGTAACAAATCATCATCCTAAGTAATGAACAGCCTTGAAAATTGAGCAAATAAGGTCATCCTCTAAATTGGTATAAATCTGAAATTTTAAACGCTATTGCATTTACAAAATTTATTTCGTCTTGCAGATCTTATTAGATGCCTCTTACGCTGTTAAAATCTATTAAACAGGAATGTTATCAATTTTGCATTATTCATAAAAATGCCTTCGTTCACTTTAACATGGAGAAAATATTTGATTCCTAAAAAGCTTATGCAAATGATACTTACGTCGAACTTTTTTCATGCAGTGAAAAAGCATGGTTTTTACGTGTATTATCTGGATCAAAACTAGGCGCTAAAATGCACTCTTCGGAGTTTAATACCAAAATCCGTTTTGAGGACTTTGTTTCATCAGAAATCGAAACAATTGAAATGACGACAATGAAAACGGCAATTCAATGCAATAAATGTTTTTTTACTTTAATGCATGTATCACAACCACTTACATAAAAATGACAAATTACATTTCAAAAATTCATATGATTTACATTCTTAAGTAATTTTAACTTGTTGATTTTTCTGAGTTACTAATGTTGGACATAATTTTTTCGAAATCTTAAAACTTTTTTATCAGTGCTGCCCCGCTTATTCAATGACCGGAGTTTTTGTCCATTTTGATTACTAGGGGCAGTTAACATTATGACTTCGACATCTCAAACTAATATTAAAAATCTGCACACACATCACTTCTTCATCCCAAAAAAATTTACAGCAAATAATGCTTTTATTTATTTATGTATTTATTTAAATTTGATTTTAACTAAATTCTTAGGAACATTGAACGCTTATTGTAAATATTTTTTTTCAGAACATACCTTGGTACTTCTAACGAACAGCCTCAAAGCAATCAACATGAAAAACAATTAGAAAAAACTTACTCTTATTCCATGCGGAATTTTCAAATTTTTTGAAGACTTTAATTTTGGTTTTTATACAAGCTCCATTCATGAAATTTTTACTGATGATGATTTGATTTTGATAAGTAATGCCAGCAAAAAAATTGCCTTTTTGGCTGCAACGTCATAGTTCGAATGCATTGCATGTTAAACGCCCACCGATCAGGGACTTAATTTGCAGTTTACTCTAAGCCAATCACTCTGAGAGAGCTTTTCCATCACTATTGACTACTAGGAATACTAAAAAAGACTAGCATTGGGAACCAGACACATTCCATGCTACCGTTTACAAAAAAAAGAGGGACTAAATCTTATGGTGAGTCAGTGTTATGATATGAAGAGGATGGCCCTATGGAGGGTCGGTATTGATATCAGGCTCACGCCTCAGCCTTGAGAAAGTTGGGATGACGGAAGGACCTGGGGGACATTGAACAGACCAGACCAGTATGCCCCGGTAGAATGGTGTGAATTACATATATGATATTCAAGCAGATCGGGAAGGCACAAATACTTCTAAAATCAATGAATAAATTTACCAACTCAAGGACCTAACTAATAGTTTTACTTCGATATTCCTACTCCAAACTTTAGAAATTTATTTCCTTTTTTGGCAAATTTTTTTTCCGAGTATATTTGATGAAAAAGGAAAATTAGGAGAGCATTAATCACGCTATTTGATATCGCATGATTTCATGGCTTGTTATGTAATTTCCCAAAAAATAAACTAAAATATGTCGCTGCTTCCATTTAATGAATGCAGATACTTTTCTAATCCTTTTAATTTTTTGTTTTAATCTCATTGGAATTTAAACAGGATTATCTGATCTGTGATCTTGAGAATAATGAATGTTGTATACAGAATATTGATTGTCACAATGTGAAGCATAAAATTATTTACTGATTAATATTTGAAATTAGGCAAATTACATGATTTCGACCATCAGTTTCCGGTAATTATGCATACCTCTTAAACAGTTTGTTATGCCGAGATATTACTGAATTTATTGTCTTGATTTTAAACTCTTATGCAAAAGTAATTTGATGTTACACTACTTCGTGATCAAATGTCATTATCATTCTATTTGAGACCAGATTGTGCTTATTTTGATTAACTTATGTAAAAATAAATGTCCATAAAATAGGTGAATTCTGTACAAGTAGGCCAAAATCCAAATTAATTGCTCTATTCTAGACTAATTAAGGCAAGGTGCCCAAAACAGTTCGTAGTAGAGATTTTGTAGGAAAACAATTTTCCCAGATGGCTATTTCCTACTTTCAAGTTTTGCATAATTTTCGCTCACGTCACCTCTTGAAATTTCATTTCAGTTTACATGTCTGATTATCATTTATTCATTAATTTAGGGTCTTTCCCGTTATCATGTATATGTATTAAAAGATTACTTGGTTTGCCTTTGATGCTACGATTTTAAAACACATAAAATTTAATCGACTTCTGGTAGATGTTATTTGGTGGGGTTGAAGGAATATTATTGACATTTATTGAGTGGCTAAGTAGATTTCGTATGGTGTAAATCGTGTTTTGTTCACGCTCGTTAATCCGGTAGCCCCATTTTCCGGACGACGCCTCTCTCTTTTTGCAACCTGGCCATATCTCTTGTCTCCTAATATCCTTGATTTCGACGCTTTTTTCATCCCATTCTTTGCTTTCAAGTCTCAGCCAAGTCGAACAGCTTCAGCTATCTCACGTCAGCGATCAGATATCACATGCCACCTGTCTTATGATCAACCTTCCAAATATTTTGCAAAAATAAACGAATAGGTTCGTCACGTCCCTTCGCGTTGACTTACTCTCATTAACACGGTCGCTCCTTGCTACGACACAATGTTCCTCTTTTCACAGCATCCTATTAGCCATGGGTGACATCGGATCAATGTGTGCACATTTGGCTTCTCCCTACGTTTCGTAACATCCTCTCCCCTCCCCGAGGTCTCGATATTAGTGCACCCGTGACTCACGCCGTTTCACACTTCTGACCTATAGACATGCACGACACTTCGACGACAACTTGTTCGAGGTCTCGAATGAGGGAGTCTCTCTGTCCCTCTGCTGCCTCAACCAACACTTGTACACTTCGGCTTATCCCGCGCCGCAACACGTTCATCTCTGTTTTACGATGTCACTTCACTTTTCAATTTTGTATGATTATGTAGGACAAAGTCTCGTGGGTTCCTAGGTGCCCATTTCCCAACCGAAGGACCATAATTTTCGTCTAAATCACAAAAATTACGTCGAAAACTAAGGAAGCAATTCGAAATTAAATGTCTTTTTTGTAGCTGGTTAGGTAGACTGTTGATTTACGACAATTTTGACTACCCTTCACCTAACCACTAACCAATTGAAACTGCCATTTTCTGTTTCAATGGGACCCACATTACGTGAGTGCGTATTCCACCACGCCATCATTAATCATGCCAGAAATTAGATTGATGTATGAGCTAGTCTAGCGACTAAAATGCATACATATAAGTACCAATGTACTCTCTTTTAACCTTCTGCTAGACACTTAGGTTGCGTCAATATTTCTTTCGCGAACAGCAGAACTTTTGATTTAGTTTCAGTTGGCAACAGTCACCAACTGAAAATATCCCATCAGCTAACTAAATGCATGAATTTTGGTATTTGGTGTAGGTCACGCCTCGCTCTAACTTTATTAGTAAGAAAGGCATTTGGATCCAAATGGCCTGCGGGTCCCAATAGTTTCCTTATTTTTTTGCTGAATACCTCTACTCATAAAAAGGTCAGCCTCTCATAAAATAGGTCCACTAATTTAACAGTATGCACATTTTCAACAACACATCAGAACAAACCCTGCTTGAATTGGTCGTATGATAGTACTGACGTTTAACTTAACGAAGTGTAGACAGACAGTAGCCAATGCCGTTGCGGGTCCAGCGTTCCCCAAGATGACTCATCGCCTAACCGCGCTACTTCAGTTAGTGTGTCACCCACAGTCCGCACTGACGGCCCCATCTATGTTAGCCCGTCTTGATCCGTCATTACGAGGTCGTCCTTGACCTGAATAATTGGACACATTCAGACAGATTACTGGGCCGCTGGCTTAGGCATTAAACGCTCTTTGCAGGAGGTCATGTTTTGACTTACATCAGCGCGGGAAGGTGGGGCTAGTGTCAGATCAGGAGTCTGAGGTACCGGTTTTCGGTGTGTGTGGTTCTAGTTAGGGGCAAAATGTAACAAATGCGCATCAACTAGCTGCATCTCAAGAAGGATTTTCAAAATCAGTCGAAAAAATCACGCAGTGTAAACGTTTTGGTCACTCGAATTACCTAGAAGTAATCTTAGTCCACCTTAACCCTCGAAATTGTTGCTTCATTATTGCCATTTTACACTTAAACTCTGCAAGCGGAGCAAAATTGAAGCGAAGATTCCTCAAAAAGTTGCCGAATGGTCAGTCAAGAAGGTAGATGTCCTTCTAACGCCTTTAAAAGTACATAGCTGAACGGTGGATAAGATGGGTTCTGTGATTTGGACTGTGAAGCCACAGGACGTGTCCAAATAATGAGTGTGAAGGCAGACGTCAGTATTGCCATTAAGTATAAAAAATTCTTAATTAAAAAAGTAAATTTGCAAGAACCACATTTGTTAAGCGACGTCAACTGTATTCATAATTCCTTAGCGTTTGATTTGAAAAAAAAGTACAAAAATAACAGCCAAAAACTCTCAGGTCAATGTTGTAAATCTTCCCAGCTGTCCCTAAAATCGATAACGCAATAAGCCGAGTTCGACTGGGCTTCCAAACCGCAGTTGTAACGCAGATCCCTTTTGACCTCAACGCAAGCTCTAGATGGGGATCTGTGCTCATCGGAGTGCATGTAGATCGAGACGCGAGGGACGCTGGACCAAAATTCACCGAGGCACGGCCTCGGGACGTCAACGCCATAGCGAACATTGTTTGTAACGAGTACAGCGATGTGGAAGTCCGCGGAGATGCGCCTCAGCTCCGTTGCAACAGACCGCAGTTGGAAGGTGGCTAAAATTGTGACCGAATAACGCACTACGCAGCGAGGAATGACATTACAGCCCTGTTCTTATTGACTACTCGTAAGACCAATTAGAAGGCAGGTGGAAAATTTTCGTTTCTTTGCCCTTACGCCATCTCCCAGGTAACGTACGAATGCTATCGTGAAAGAAACTTGCATGCTTCGAGGCAACAATGTCATCGACGAATTTTCACATTTTCCTGATTTTTTTTATAACTATTTACCCACTAACGTGTGCGCCATTGACCTAAACAAATGGTAGTCAGAAGGGGGCCAAGTCAGGTGACTATGCAGCCTGTGGGAGAACTTCTTATCCCAATTTCAACAGCCTTCTGTGTCGAGCGAGCAACGTGAGGTCGAGCGTTGTTATGCAGCAGCAGCAGCATGACTTGTCTGCTTCCTTGCCCGGTAAATGGCCATTCCTGACCAAATTCTTTGTTCAGAATGTTCATTTGTTGGCTATAACGTTCCGCAGTCACCGTCTGGCCACTTTACCGACGTTTGTAATAAAGTACACCCTTCGTGCTCCACCAGATACATAATATAACCTCCTTCAAGTGGGTGTTCTGTTTCGGCGTCGATTTAATGCGTTGTCCGGGATCTAATCACAGCTTTTTATTCTCATAAAAGCATACTTTTCATGACCCGTCACAATTTTCCACAAGAAGTCCATTCGCTGCTTGTTGTCGATGTGTTCATACGCAACCTAGGAGGTTGTGTATCGGTCAACACATGTAGGGGGACACAACTTCCTAGTTTTTAAATTTTTCCCATTTGGTAAGGCAAACGCGTGCAACGCGCTGTTTGAACGACTCCTAACTGAGCTGCAAGCTCTTGTTGCGTCTGCGTTGAGTCTTCAATCCACAAAAAAAATTTGCAATTCCGCATCTTCGAAAGATCGAAATCACAACCTATAAAACGTTTGTATCAGTAGTTGCACGTTTCAAAGGACACCAAGAGCACTACAAGTGAGTCGCGTACTTTCGAAGCACTTTTTCCCCGTTGGAACTCGTATCAAACGCAGTTCCACCGAATGTGCGCTTTGTCTGGTGCCATCGTAAAGTCTGATACTCTGAGAGGGAGTGTAGCCCACGTAGACTTGTTGTTCGAAGTTCTGAAACCTTGCTTCCGATTCTTTCAAAAGCACAAAACTATTTCCATTTTAAGCCCGATGAAAAAGTCTGTAAGAATTAAGCCACACACCTTATATTCGCTTGGAGGGCACGTAGGTGTTACAATAATTGGATGATTGCTGGTGCGTGAGTGTTACTATCCACAACCGGGAGCAACTATTCTGCTACCAACGTTCTGATGACATCACAACAGCGTTGGAACCACACAATGCCTTGCTCCAGTTAGCCCCAGTTCAATTTGTCTGCTGTGCTGTCTGGTATGCCGCCTTCAACCCCCGATACCTATTCTCATTCTGAAGCGCAAACAAGCATTCCAAGACTGACCAAGTCTAGACAATGGCACTTAAGCGCACCAGTCTCAGGACCTTGGGAGGACTGATATCGGTGAAATTACAACTGAACTTCGTCGCTACGACCAAACGGAGTTGCGTTTCTTGCATCAATTTCGAAACCGACTAAGTGCACGAGTGCGTTGCTTTTTCTCGACAGTTAAAAAGGAAGGCTAATTGACATGGTAGGAGGAAGCAGGTAAATGGCGAGCTTATTTTTCAGCCCGAACCATTGTGCGCTTGCGAGAATACTGAGTCATGGCAATACAATGAGACAATGAAACAACAATGTTAATTTACAAAAGCGAATTATTGCACCAGAGGCAAACACTGCCCCAAAAGCTGCAAATTGAGTGTTTTTGACATCCACTTCGTTCATTAGATAAGCCCCCTTCCCACCCAGACCAAATGGTCACACGGACCGAAATAATTAAATAAAAAGGTTCATTAATTAGTCATAGAGCATTAAAAATTGTATTTTCGGATTTGCATCTTTGTATCAAAAACACAATGTAAAACCACAGTAACCGGTTGCAATATTCTGTTTTGGGGTGTATTTCCAAGACTTTTACCAATTAAAAGTATTTGTGTAATTTGTGTCAGCTTATTGTCAGGGAATTTTTAAAAACCGCAAAAAACGACCAATCATCATCATCATCATCATTACATCACTGAACGGTAGTAATGTTCATTCGAATTACGAAATGACAAAAACAAAACTGTGCCAACCCATTCAGAGAGGAGTTGTATTTTGATAGTGACGAGAAATAGAAATGTCCATGCTCTAAAGTTACTCAAACTTTGTAACAAAAATTAATTCAGCTGTTTGGTTAATCCAAACTCGCAATTGCGTCATTGTAGTGCGACAGATCCAATCCCGGTCACTCACAAAGCTAGCACTGTGGGTCTGAATGCCACCAAACAACAAACTCGGATTGAAACAAAGAAGAGGCGTTACGAAGGGACCCCCCCACACACACACGCATTTCAATGCGGAAAAGCTTACTCTCGTTAGGGAAGGCGGATGTGAAGGGCACGAAGGGAGAGGCGATGCAGTCCACGATCACCAGTCGCAGGTTCGAGTAGAAGGTGGCCTCCTCGTTGGTCAACCGAACCGTTTTGGCGGTTTTCTCGAGCAATGCTGCCGTCGCGACACACAGACGAGTCTCCACGAGAGCATCCATGAGCTGTTGAACGCCGGGAACAAGTCGACACCAGACGCGTGAGAGGCAGTGATCGGTTGAACGCTCAAGTGCATTCTAGGAAGAGAGTTGGGCACGCGAAATGTGATTAAAGCCAAGCACACACAAAGAGTGCATGAGTCGTTGATTAAGGCGTGAGCAGTAACGTCTGGATTAAATGATAATGCTTAACCTTGTTTTTAAAAACAGGCGTTTGGAATACAGGCTGTGCTATTAATCGTTTCGTTGGCATGTGCATGAAAGGTAAATTCAACTAGTGACGTTTGCTGTGTTCACAATCAGACGTGGTGCACAAACAAGAGAGCAATTTCGGTTTTGTGGTATGAAATAAGACGGAATATTTAACACACTGAATCAACGACAACCAAATTCGAATTTGTCTAATTATCTTGTGTTACATTCCTGCACCCACTGTACTTCTGGACCTTAACAGCAAAAAACCGACCCATGGATAATTCCAGGTCATTAGTAGAAGTTATACCGATCGGCGACATTGTAATCATTGTCATGTCATTTCTGCATAACTCTTTATTTTACTATACTGATTTCCGTTAAACTACTGTCCTGTTCCCGCCTGTTGGGGATCCAGGATTCCCCAAGATTACTCATCGCCGATTCTTGTTATTATTTACATTAATTCCCTAACATGCGTTTTACTACGCTTTTATCAGGTCAAGGTCAATCTTGGCTTGAATTGGTGTCCACTTTTGACAACTCTCTCCGCAAGTGGCTGACGTGATTAAAGTTTTATGCACGAGATCTGACCTTATTCTTGGATTAAGGTACTAGCGTCAACAAGGGATCTGGTACCGTTATCTGAGTGGTTTCTCTTCGTTACGGGCAAACGTAATAACTCCTCAGCAAATAACGTGAACTTGGTTACGTTCCTGGATTTTCTTTGTTGTTCTTCTTTTGCGGAGTGTCTGCCTGCTAGGGTCTAAGCCGATCCTGCTATTTACAAACTTATCTGCAATAAGTGAAATTAAGCATGACTGTGATCAGCTTATCTCATCGGTTAATTCGCCATCGTCTGCAAGAAGCCTAGAAAAGATTAAGAATTGAAAAAAATACAGCAAGAGATACCTAAATACGAAACCTCCCGTGCAAATCAACGGAGATCCAAAGTACTATCGAGCCTTCATGAGACGGTATCAAGTGATAAGTGGGATGCAGGAGTGAAGACAGCCTAAGCAAATTAACATATCTGCTATAGGTGTGTGAAGGAAAGGCCCTAGAAGCAACCAAGCATTGCACATCATTTGATGCAGAAGCCGGTTTTGATATCTGCAAAGGAAATTCTTGGAAAATGATTTCAGCGAAATTCTGCAGTCTGTGGTTCAGGGACCGAAGCTGTGCCAACGCTGTTTAAAGACAAATCACGTTGCTCAGGACTGCCAACTGTCACACATCTGTGCAATTTATGGATGTAGAGAACCTCACCCCGCCAAACCACATCCCTCTGATGGTAATCACAATTTGGAGCCAGAAATTACGGATGATCATATAGATAAATATATCTGCTGTCCACGGATTACTGTACAAGAACATAATCCCAATATGTCTCACTACCAGGATCCGACTGCGAAAGTCTTTGAGACAGATGAATTTGGTTCAGAATCTGTGTCCATTTCGGGTCTAGCAATGTGGAGGGTAGGGTAACCAAGCAGCATCAGAAGTGACTTATGTCAACGCAAGTGTCGTCGATTCGAAGAACAACTTGACGGTTTCCAGTCAACACAACCCAATCGATGGGTTTCTTGAAACGTTGCCACCAATCACACCCGACCCACAACTCAGCTGGTAGCCAAATTCAATCACAAACCAGTAACGGCAGAAGACAACCATGTAGATTGTGAATCAATGAAAGAAAGGTCTCAAAGATGGCCACAAACAGAAGAGAAAAGGAACGTTAACAAATCCCAAAGTTGTCTAAGGATGTTATCATCTTCCTCTTCTGAGGAAGAAGAACTGAATGGACATTCCGAATTGCCTCAAATTTAGAAAAGTCTGACATCAACGATACCGTGTACCAAAACACGTACTAAAATTCGTCTCATGCGTTTTGAGAAACGCCCGTCAAGTCTCCCTAAAAAATCGGTTTGCTGATAATGCCTCATGAAGGAACTCAAACTACCGTGGTTACCTCTATTAAATACCAGAGAAAAATATTGATGTGCAGGTGATTATTTGGAAGCGCAAATAAAATGCTGGAAAGAAGAAAGTTCTCAGCTTATCAGATAATTATCCTGTACAAAATCGGACCTTTTTGTCCAGTTTCTCCAAAGTCAAATCCTTTCCCTCATTTAACTGTCTGTCGACACCCCCATTGTCTTAGATTAACACGACTTCTGTGCTCATTGAAACTCCAGAGGTTTTCCATGATTGATACTTCAACGTTTACTAGTTGTTATTGGCAGACATCTGCGTTGACTATTTGGTTCCTTGGAAGAAATTCAGAATACACGACACTTTTGGAATTCCAAAAATCAGCTTTTGGTCCTATTTCAACTGGTCAATCATCCATAAAATGGGATATTCAAGTTAGTATTATTGCGGACGGACCATTTGCCAGAACAACATGATTCTTATAAAAAAAACGATTTCATTGCGTTTGAGATGTGCAAAGATTTAATTTCTGAAAGAGTCCGAAATAGTACATGTGAGTTTAGATCGTGCTGTAATGCATTTAATCTCGACGTAACCTCTTGCACTTATATCGCAATCCGATAAAGCAAGTAGGTCATCATAAAATGCAGTAAGTTGAGCAGTAAGTCGGTCAAATTTGAGTAAAGAATCGCCAGACGGCAATTTTTGAACCATTTCTGCCACGTGGTTTTTTTAAAGCGATCAAAATCACATGGTCCACGCACCACCCTGTGAGCCTAAAGGGATTTACTAAGGTTACAGGAAAGAAAGTACGCCGAAAAATATCCGTTTTCATAATTGAAGCAAAATTTAGCGTGTTTGGCCCGGTTAGTTTTTTACTAAACAATGCTGAGCGTCACATCGTGTTTTCTAATCCAGTGAGCAGTTATACACGTCAGACTAACTCACGATGTTTGACTTCCAAATTAATTTTCTGCTTAATTTCTAATCTTAATCCCTGTGATTAATGTATCTAGTGTGTCCCGAGTATATTTAGTCATTTTTAACGTGACTTATTTGGCTACGGTTTACAGAAAGGCAGCCAACGAGGCACTGTTCACATTTTGCGTTAAAATCAGCCTTAAACTGGCGGCTGCATGCAAAATTACGCCCAAGTTGCTTCTAAAGTGGGTCAAAACGTCGAAAATGAAGACGCAATCGTGGGGTCCGAAGTAACTTGTAAAAAATGGTACAAAACCATAAGTACATCCACTGGACCAGACGTAGCATAACCTTACTCAACTCTGGGTCACAAAACGGTCTTCACAATTAGAAAAGTGACACTTAGACAAAGCACTCGTCTATCACCTGGATGAGGAAAAGGCATCGCCTGACAATCGATTTTTGGGGCTGAGTTCTTATGCCCTAATTATATCTTCCTCAAGGGTTTGAGTATCTGCTGCATCTGAGGCGCTAACGCCATTATTGGTATTGCTCAGTTGGGTAGAAAATAGTTTACGAAGAAGTCGAAAATAAAGATCGGATTGCATGGGATAGCAATGCAAATCGTCGAGACGAAGGGAGTCAATAAGAGGGCTCACTACACAGAATCAAGAGCCTGTCTAGGCAGACGGTTTGAGCCAGTCTATCCACCGTGGCTTAACAAGCTGTGATATGTATTTTCACACAAAACAAAATTCACGATTATGAAATTGTTTTCGTTAGTGCTTGCTTTAGTTTGCCCCAGCGCAGGAGTGTCTGGTCGAATTGCGGTTGAAGTTGGTGTGACTTCGTGAACCTGCGATGAGGCAGTCGCGCGAAGGCGATTAGCCTAATGTGGGAATGAACCAATGGCAGAGAGGAGGTATGAGCGACACTGCAGCAAGCCGCTGGCTTAAAAGCACACCTAGTGACACACGAATGTTACAACTATAGCCTCCGTCTACGTGAACAAAGTCGAAAATGAACGAGCAACATTTTTGCACCAGAAGGCTGCACTCTCTGTGGCAATCAGACAAGTTAACGATATTTGAATAGACTTACTCATAACAAAGGTGTTACATGTACATCTTACGCTTGATTTACCCGTTGTTTTAATTCTAGTTCTTACTGATTGCTGCTTACCACTATCTTCGATACGGGCGTTGTTCATCTCGAATACTGCATAAAGTGAACAAAGTGGTGAGCCTCCTTAGTTGCTGTGTACGAAGCTGTTAATAACGAAGCTGTTGTAAGCGTTTATTGATAAAAAAAGACTGTGTTACACTTCTAGACTGTCCAATCATTCGTGACTTGGTCGCTGTGTGGTACACTAAACACACGAGAGTCCAAAAATTGGTTATCGTTTATTTCCTTTGTTTGTCTGTTCACGTCACAAAGACGACAATTCGAAGCCCTTCACGCCTGATTGAAATTTACTAAAACCACCTAAGTAGTTGAATCCAGGCTACAGTGGCACGGACCGCGGCGATCAATACGGCTGGATACGGCCCATGGCAATAGTGGACTTCGCTTGAACTCTTGAATCTCGTTAATTCACGCTCATGCTACGACACAGTGCCCGTCTTTTCACAGCACGCCGTCAGCCATGGGGGCAACCTCAACTCACCGGATTAACACGGATGTTTCCCCCGCGTTATCCCCACGTGTTACAACCCCCACCCCCTGTTTCACACTTCCGAGCTTTAGACATACACACGAGCAAACGCCACAAGCAACACTACGACAACAACTTGGTTAGGTATCTGGAAAACGGTTGTGTCTTCAAGGTAGCGTAACTGGGCTAAATTTAGCGAATTCCAGCAATTAAATATTGAAATAGGGTGCAGACACCAGTGAACCAATTTGTCATTTCATAATGATAAAGTCTTGATTCGAGCCCGCGCATAGACGCAGTCCAGAGACGCTCATTACACGCCGACGTCCCACACTTTTGCGCATTTTATGCATGTCGATTCAATACGAGCACCTGTAGAGCTTGTTTGCGTTAAGACGGTACGAATTTGACGAAGCTGTAGAGAAGTTTAGAAAACACGGTGTGACTTTGTCATTAGGAAATGGGTTTCGGTGTCAGTTTAACCCGCTTATCGGTTAAGAGTGGACCGTGTTCCATAAAATTGGCGTCTGTTGACCCGGAAGGACTAGTTACATGCCGAAGTGCACTTACTGTATTGGCGAGTCCAAATCTGCGACGCAGTAGTGAGCAAACCAGTTGACGTATACGCGAAGCGCAAAAGTCGCCCTTCGTGTCCAAGTACAGGACGGTGGAGCCTTTGGACTCAACCAGAGCCGTGGTAAGGGCATCTGCCTGCATCAGGCGATGAGAGGAAGTCGCTGCCGCGATGAAATGGCAGATCTGAAGGACAACAAGGCGTCGGTGCGTAGAGGTACTATAACACTTACAAATTTATTCTTGTCTATCTCTTTCGTGCAATGTTCCCATTCATGATGTTACACTATTTGGATTTTTACTCCACAGTGAACAGTGTTCGAGAGCGCCTACAACTGTGAGTTCGTATTCCAAACGTAATTGGTGTTTATACATTATGTGAATTGGCATTTATTGTCTTGGGATAATACATTTCCATCGTAACAACGTTCCAAACGGCCTTTTTTGATGTGTAATCTGTACGAAGGAGCGAAAGATAAATAAGTATTATTTACAAAACTATCTGAGCAATGAACGATCAACAGGTGGAATTAGCCGTCTCCTCACGAAGAATCGTGCCGATACCGCCTATACACTGTCTGGGGAATTATCTGCTAATTCTAAAAACGAGCGTGCCAACCCTTAATTGGCAACAGAAGGTGGGAACCAGGGTGTCTCAACTGTGGAAAAGGCCGCTAATAGACAGATTCTTAGCTTTCCACTCTTATCACTCGTAGAAAAGAACGCCTATGGCCAAATAGCGATCATATTGCTAAGGGTTTTCCGGTTCACGCCCAATCGTACCATTTGAAGTTGCTAAAAACCGCACCGTGCCCAACCACATCCCTTTGACGGTGATATCAGTACTGAAAAAGAGGCCGCGAACAGCCATATGGTTAAAAATATCTGCTGTTCAAGGATTAGTGGACCAGAAAGTGATTTGGAAACGTCCTATCCCCGGGATTTAACCGTTGGGGGACTTAAAACAACGGAAAAGGTTCGGGAAGTGTGCCGTCGAAAGATGCTGACCTTGAATATAGACATCCGAAGATCTTGTAGAAAATTCTAAGGGACCTCTGCCAACAAGACGCGAAATTCTGGGCTCTTGAAACAATTCCACTAATCACCCAGTAGCGCAACTCAGTTGGTACACAAAAACAGTAGCAACAGGAGATGATTGTCGATGGCACCTCAATGAAACAAACTTCTCAAAGAAGTACTCAAAACTGCCATTGGGAGTTACGGACTGTCTCGGAAGAAATGAATGGACACACCAAGGCGTCTCTACCTCAAAGACAAATTCCATATAAGCATGGTCTCAAAACTTTTAGTACACAGATGGACTGTTGCAGGTCTCACTCCGTCTTTTTTTAAATTTTGCTTTTCCATTTTCGTTTCCCAAGAAGTAGATTTGAGGTAGGAGCGGAGTATTTACCATGTTATTGGCGTCTAACTCTGTCTTGTGCAGTTCAGGTTCTCATTGAAATGCTATTTGTAGTTTGGTCACGACGTAGGCACTGCTCCGAGGGTGTCTGCACCTGTGAGCTCCTACTCCAAACTTAATCGGAGTTTACATACTACCTTTTTTCTGATGTTACTCGCCTTAGGCCAATGCATAGGCGTTTTAAAAACGTACCAAGCAATCTTTTTTGTTTGTTCTCGGCGTGTAATCCGCACGGGGAAACAGAAAATCAGTAAACAAGTACTGTTTGCAGGTAGCTATTCGTCTACTGCCTCACTCCCTCGAAAACACGACCAACACAGAGGTGAATCAAGAATAAGTTAAATACATCAAACAGACGAATTATTATCACCACCAATCTACCTGCGACTTCCCGACTGCTGAAGGTCCGAACACTTCCGTTATCTCTCCAGTCAGACATCCGCCAGAAAGAAGGGAATCGAATCTGAAATTGAGTTTCATGAGACGTAGAGTTGAGAAGGTACTTCGCTTTATCATAACTAAGTTTTTGCTGTACTAATCTTTCACCTAGAAGAAGAAAGTAACCTACGTTTGGGGCCGGACAGCACACAAAGGTGATAAAAGAGGGTATGTTATTAATACCGACAGTGGGTCTAGCTTGTATTGATCGCTATTCTCATTTATCTCTGACCAGACAAGCTCAAGTATGCATTTTGCATCCCTAACACGTTGCTTGTTAAATGTATCTTAGTGATTAATGGTTGCCTTTTATAGAACGCACGCGTAGCTCTGCCCACAATGTACAGCTCCCTGAACTGTCCTGGTTGATTTTGGCTTTTGTGTCGATTTTAGTGAAAAAAGAAGCTATTAGTAAGATAACTCTGGTTAACATGCATCGCCAATGTTCGGTAGAAACTCAGTTGCAAATAACAAACGGACAGAATGACTACCAGTCGGCATTTCTTGCATTTTAACTTCACTGGACTCAATCGCCTTAGGCTATGCGCCTCAGTGTGCCCGGATCTTTAACATCCTGGATGCAGCCATCTGTACCAAAAGGACAGTTTCCAGTGTGCTTCTTTTGACAGGATCTATCAGCCACCTTGACGTAGTGTAAGCCAAGCGTATCTGGGACTTGCCGACTCTGCTACGAAAACCCCGAAACCAAACAAGCGCAGTGCCTCCAACTCAGATGAAAAGCAGACAAAGCAAATTTGTATACACTAATTCAGGGCAAACTTTCATTCACTTCTCCGTGTTCTCTACTAATTTTTTTTTATAATCCAGCAGATTTAAACACATTTGGTAAGGTGTCGCCAAGCGCTACCATCGCTTAATGCACGAAGACGATCGTAAACAGTTTGTTCGCCTATCGAACTTGTACTTCAAAGTCAGCGAGAGGATATTTGGAAATCTAAGCGGTAAACAAAACAAAGGGCCGGTACAAGTAAACAAGAATGGATTAGAATTATGGGTCCAATTTAATACGTAACATGAACGCTTGAGACATAATGCTCAGCATTCTGGTTTACATCGTGATTACTTCCGGCCAAAATAAGGTTCCGTTTAATGGTGCAGCAATCCCAATGCCAAGAACCATACATCTTGGCATACTATTCAGCAATGCTAGGACTACATACACAATTCCTAGGATGGGACTCAAAGGCTTCGTGGTTGCAAACAAGCCCAGTTAACCTAAGTACTTCCAAATTTTCGACTAAAACTTCAATCTACTGCTTGTTATAGCCCTGTCACACACACTCAAGTTGCCATGTGCTTGTTATCTGCGACGCTGTAAGCCCTATGGCCGATGGAAAGCGTAATCAAGTTTACCCCCATCCGCCTTTAATGACGTGCAGTGGAGAAAAATAGAGCTGAGTGCGGCGTGGAGAGCTGGGACGTGAGTTCGGGGAGTAGCCGTTATTAGCCACTGTTTGTCAGTTGCACGAAATGTCTCACGTGGTCAAAGGAAGTGTTAATGTATCTTCACGAATCGAAGGCACTAGTAAACTATCACTTGACAATTTTTCCATCGTGAATTGTGCCATTCCACGGCTTTGTCGCCACTGAGACAATTCTCCAACCCTGGACATACACGTTTATGAAACCGTTCACAAGTATACGTACTGGTCGATGCCTGTGGAGAGGAAACACCGATTAGCGAGACATTCTTTGAGGAGATCTGACCCGTTGATTGCACGAGGAGCCCACTGCTTCAAAACCAATCGCTGCACGGTATGAAGACTCTACAAAAGAGGATGCAGCTGATGAGGCGAAACTGAATACACGATCAACGACCCATTCACTTCGTTTGAGGTTGTAAAAACGGGTTATCAGAAGTCATTGCTAGGACGCCTGCGGCACCAGAAGGAACATCGTGGCTTGAGAGCACTGACCCCTTATAAAACAGAAAATCGAAGAGGACTTTAGCCTCATCACTTGAACCCGCATTTCCCCTTTGGCATTGGTCACTGAAATCAACGAATTTAGAAGGCATATTTTGAGTATATTATGAGAAAGATGCCCCAAAACGGTTGGGATTACGAAGCGTAAAAAAATCCTTATCTTATATTTGCCTAGGACATTAAACACTTTCGTAAGCTAAGTTAACTACTTGTTGGGAAGACGAAAAATTCGAGCTTAACGTAGAGCAGTCGCAAATTTGTAGGGAATATTCTATTTTTGCCAAGAGAAAAAAGTGCAAAATCACTAGAAGCCTTGTTGTCAGCAGTCAAATAAAAAGATTTTTACCAAAAACCTAGGTGATGCCAGGCTAGAATTAGTTACGAACGCCGAATTACCGTTTAAAATACCACAGACGCGGTGTGTGCGTGTGTAAGGACACTGACACAACCCCACTACCCAATCAGGGGAAGGAACAAAGTGATGCTGTCTAACTGACACCGATTGTGTTGGAAACGGCTAACTACCAAAGCATTTCGTGTGCACTTTATTTCCTACCCAGCGCAATTCCAAACTGCGGAACGAAGAAAAGCCGAAAGTCAGTCCACAGTTTGCCTGTTACTTAAACGAAACACCGATTTTTAATTAATTGTGTAGCTGTTACTTTTTTGGTCCGGGACAATCTGTGAAAGAATGTGAGGAGGAGACGGTTGAGTGCCAAATCATAAAATCCGAGGACATGTATTTTGAAGAACTGTACACATAAGAAACTGGTTCTTGTAACAGAGTAGTCAACGTTGCAACGCACTAATTAGCAAAAGCCTGCATGTCCAAGCCACCGGACTTAAAAATCTTGACCAAGAAACCATAAAGATGAAGTAAGCTGTTATTATTTGCGATCTCCCACATCTTTGTGCCTACTGTCCACAAAACCACAGATATCCGATGTGCAGTTAAAAGTCCAGATTATAATCGCAGGTGCTTGGTGAGAGGACGAATCAGTGTACACGTAAGAAGCGAAAGCATTTACTTTCTATTGCTGATGAATCGAGAACTGTTGCGATGTGAAGTACGAGTAGAATGAGGTGTCGGTATTAAGCAAATTAGAAACTTCAGTTCAATTTCTAATATTCAGTTTTTTCCTTAATCTTTTGTGCTGTGGCTGAAGCACCAGAGAGAGAAATGGCAACACCGCCGCGCGTGAATGACATATTACAGATATTAGGAATACCAAACTCTGCATTACGAGGATCTGGGAAAAGCCGTTGTAAAGATTGTTACTTAAATAACCAAAAATTTCGAAATCATCCAAGGAACAAAAGACAGCATTAGCCAGTTGTTAAAGAACCGATAAAATGGCTGAAAATAGAGCTGAAATGATCACGCAAAAGTCGAGGCTATTTTTACCACGACTCACTTTCGATGCAAATATCGACGAAGGAGACGCAACAGATGGGCTGCTCTCCCAGAAGGTCGCTTGTCGCCTTGTGGAGCCACGTTGATGACCTACGCACAGGAAGTCAATGTTATTGTTGTTGTGCAGGATGAGGGGCAACAGAGGCTGACCCAACAAGGCCGAGTGCTGAAGACGCTTAAGCAGGGCGTGTGGCGTCTCGGGGATCTCCTTTTTCGACGAGGCCTCCCCTAGCATGCCTAAAGCCAGTAGAACTGCAAACATGAATCCAGATTGTAAAGACGAGGGACTCTCCAGCGTGCCCACAATGATGCGATTTCATTAGGCACACCACCCACAGAAACAGGGATGAACTCCCACTTCTGCAGGAATGACGTGCAAGTGTCCACAGACAAGCATCATCCCTCCTTTCCTGCCCAAGTCAGACAGTGCACCCTCGAAAATTCAAAGTAGTTTTCACTCCTGGTCATTTGGCCGCTTTTTTTCTGGCCTAACACTTGCAGACCTTCGCTATTGAGTCAAACCGCCTTCAATGACAACGTAACAAAGCCCACTGACACTGAATATTGTCCTCAGGGCTTTTTCAGTTTCCACAAGTGCATTCCCGTTGTGTACATGTCCGATTTAGTTGGAAATTTTCTGGCGTCTTGTCGATTCGGATTCACATGCAAGTTTTTTTTCACCCTTTGGTCAATAACAGTTCTCCAAGTGGACTTTTTGACCAAAACAGCCGTCCGCGCATTTAAAATTGAATGATATTCTTTGGTGTCAGTAGTTGCATCACGCCAATCTCGACGCCCAACTCACTTTATGCCTAATTAACAATCCTAACGGCTTTTTTTAGATGTGAAATTCTTCGGACCAGTGTACTCAGCACCCAATAGACATGTTAAACGTTTTCATTACCGGCTACAACATCAGGTGTTGCAAAACACGCAGCGTTACCACCCGTAATGCTGTGATTGAAGACAGAGGTTTGTGTCCTTTGGATGAGATGAAAACTGATTCTAGTACAACAGTCTAATCGCCTCTATTGCCTAATATTGACAAAAAATCTTCATGTAGGAAAGTGGGCACACCCAACACAAGCATCCTCCTGTGAGTGGCAAAGCCAATCCTACCTGAGTGAGTCGTCATGTCTTCGCTATAACAGCCCCTTTAATGTATCCTGATACGCGGAAAAGTTTATTAAAATTGACAGAAACAGATCTCCGGATCACAATATTCTCGCTCTTGAGACATGTGACGCCGTTATTAATTATAGCGGTTCCCACCTCGCGATTCTGATGTTATTTGAAGCCTTGGAGAGGGGTGGGGCGTCATCACGTCGTCACCTCCGCGTCATGCAATTAGCGGCTAGTGTTAACGCGTTTCCGTTTGTCACAGATCCTATCAATTCTCCCCCATTGGCACCGGAATGACAGCTGTATGCATACTCAGCACCAACACACAGCTTTTCCGAGTAGTTTAAAGGTTTATTCTATGCAAAACGACGAGTTTCTCCATTTAACGCTCACTAAATAAGGTTTGCTGTTGTTTGAAAACTAAATCCTTCTAGTTCTCAGCGGCTCCTATTAGGTCCGTTGACTGTAGACTGAATGTTTCACCATTTTCCTGGAAAGGATGAACACCTACAATGGCTAACATCTAACATTTGGCTTCCGATAAACATGCATAAGATTGCCGTAACAACCGCAGTTTTTGCTACAGATCTACAATTCGCCTTGGGCAGTTTGCACTGGTGCAGACGTTTATCTGATGACTAATTCTGTGGACGAGTAAAGGAACGTGCAGAACCATTGACCTTCGTGGGTGAAGGGAATGTGCCACCAAGCCTGTAGTTGTCACGTTAAGGTGGGGCGTGTGAGAATTTAGGAAATGAGATACTGGCAACACCAATGGACTGTACAAAAGCATTCACTATTCACAGATGAAGTCAAAGTAACAAGCGCTTGTTGAACACATTTCCAGTGCACTGGCGTGGTCAAGCCAGAATGACCATCATGGTCCCTAATTCAAAAGCCTTTGTAGTGAATCGTGTTGATTCACGTCCAATAATCAGCCACACACACACACGTCCCTCTTCGCACAGCGTGTCCATCAGTCACGTGAGACAGCCTGGTTATTCATCCCTCTGCACGCGCCAACACCATACGCTTTATACATGTGGTCATTCACGCGTCTGGATTTTCACTAGTCACTCAACTGTATCAGTATCTAGTAAACGGTTGTGCCTCGTCCTCTCGGGTTTTCTTCACCTTCACGGGTACTCAGGATAGGGTAATCGGATTAGATGCAACGCAGCGGCCCCGGCGTAGTTTAAGCCAACATGTTGGGGGCCCTCAAAACCTTATTGACTGGTGAGCATTAAGGATTAGGCATGGCGGTTCACACTTCAGCCGCAGTGACGTCAAAAAGCAAGAAAACACGCTGCTGTGATCGGCATCAATCACGCCGACTAGGCACACACACACACCCGCATGACACCTAAAGCGGCGACTTGATGAAAAACGTGCAGGAACTTCTGCCAGTCTAACCCTCGATTTGATTTCTGACATTTATGCGGATAATGCCGTGGAAGAAACGTGTTTGGGCGACATGATTCAAAAACGATGAAATATGCAGCAAGCCACAATACCGTAATAGTAAAATTTTTCGATAACGCAGTCCCAATTACCGGACACTTGGGTCTAAAGTAATTTGCCCGTGACAACACTCCACAAAGCTAAAAAACTTCACGCGGCTTATGGCCCATAAGCTTCTCCAAATAAGCAAAATTACCGGGTCGTGCAAGGTGGATTTTCAGGTTTCTTGTCAGCTAGAAACCATTGGTGTGATTGCATTTGTGCTCATCTTAGCTTGGGGCCCTGGCAGAGCTGCAGTCACGTGTCCATTTCGACTGCGATATCAACAGCGTGTGACAGCAGAACCTTTAATTAGCAGGCTTTACAGCGACTTAAAAACTCTTTGGAAAGAAAAACCCTGAAAGAATTACCGTGGTACAAAGATCTGCCCAAAATAAAGATGTAAACGACCGATAGAGGTGCCTAACTTCTTCAATATATCCATCCTCAATATCAAGGTAATTAAAGAGGCATATCTGATTGGAAAAGATGGTGGAAACGGGCCAGTCCCCGGATTTGTGGTGTCAAGGCCCGAGCAAATTTTCCAATGTCAAGGTAAGCAAGAAAATAGGTCGCTTTTCACATCAGACGTTCGAGATAAACCGATAATTTATAACACTTAGGCGCAGGGAATAGACCACGGGATAATGAAGTGGTAATCAGGGAGCAAATCCAACTTACGTGGTCTAAATTAGGCAAATAAACATTTAGACAAGCACTCAAACAAAAATTAGGGGCTTAAAACCAAGCTTAACTGGGAACAAGTCATCGATCGCAAGCATTTAGCATATATTTTAGTTTAGTAAACAGTCAGCAACACTAAGTGGTGGATGAATGTGATCAGTCAAACGACGGATAAGGAACCAGTTGTGGAAGTGTGTTGAGGACATGCTTTCGCGAGAGCTGCTACATAACTGTACATGGATGGTTCGACATCTAGAGACAGCAATTGAATAGATGGAGTAAAAGATAATTATAAGGGCACGTGGTTGAATAAGTAGGAGACAGATTCACCGTTGTGTGTCCTTCGAATAGACTCGGCAAGGACCGTACTGACATCGATGCACTGAAAGACAAAGGGGAGGTAATTAATGCATATTCTTTGAATGAAACCCCGTCAACATGTCTACGATTGCACACAATAGGTAAGGCCAGTTCGTTCAATTCCAGGCTTGAGCCAATTAGAACTTGTATTATAAAGGATGCACAATAAGACTACGAAAATATTCAGATTTAGAAGCACGTATTGTGTATCTTGGCTCCAAAATAGAAGAAACTACACAAAACTGGTCCTAAAATACTGAACAACTAGAAGCCGGAAAGTACTCGTCCGGATAGTTAAAGAAACTGATGTTTAACTACTCGGATCACGATGGCTGAGTTTTCAGGTGATCTACAACAAAAGGTGACGACTTGAACAGTTGATTTTAGTGTAAGGAAGTTAACTTGCGAATGAAACAATTGGAAGTTCAAGTAGTCGTGATAATTAAATGATGAAACGTTAACGCCGAGAGTAACGCGCTCACAACCCAAGAACTGTGAGCCGAAGTGTCATTAACACCCGACAGAAACCCGAGTCGCAACTTTCACACTTAGCATTAGCAGTCAGTTTAAAGTGGGTTTGAAAAATCGTTGGACAACAGCAAATAACTCAGTCGTGGCATTGCGAAATACAATGAGAATTCCTTTACGCAAAGTGCGATAGCTCACAAACAACCACAAATCTGCCAAACAGATCAACAAGTAACTAGAATTCCAGGAAGGTGAAAACGCGCGACGTTAACCGAGTGTTATCCAGTATCACCCATAACACACTCACGAATAGTTTGGAGCATCTCTTCATATTTTCTTTCTGGTCGATGGTATTTGTAACAACAACGGCTACAAAGCGTGATTGATTGATGCGATCTATTGCAGGACCCGAGAAGATTCCGTGAGTGCAGATGGCGTAAATGCTGGTTGCGCCGGCTTCGGTCAGGCTAACACAAAGAAACCAACAGCCTGTTCAACTTCTGCGTCAAAGGGAACCACACAACAATTGCCATACACAGCAACAAAGGCAGGTAAATTGCGTTTCAGCACAGGCGAAAGCGCATTGCCAGCAAGGAAAGGAATTTGATGCGGAGAATTAATCAAATGCAGGCTTTGTGACAAGCGAACTGTGAATACTAAATACATACCGATCGGCAGCAGTGCAGATAGTGCCGCAAGTATCGGCCATGTCATCAACTAGGATGGCAACTTTTCCTTTAACATCACCAACTAACACCATCCTGTCCACCTCGTTTGCGCGCTTGCGCTCCTTGTGGATCAGCGCAAATTCTACATTCAACTGATCGGCCAGAGATGTTACTCTATAAAAAAATAAAAATGAGAAACTCGTGCGATTTCGCCAATATCTCAGAAACTCTTAGTTGAACAGAATTACCGCGTTACATAGTAAAACCTAAGATCTACAATTATATATCCAACTAGGTGTTATGATAACAAGATGTCGTTTGATCAAAGTAAAGGCGGGAACTACTTTATTGGCATTTCGTATTGTTTTGTGAAACGAAAAAGCTCCGAATTACTGTCGAGGACGAAAAAATGCAAATGTCGAAAACAAAAAATAATAGCAATCTTTCCATGCTTTGTCGAAAAAATACAGAAACGTAAATAAAGAAATGTGGACGATTAAAAAATACCTCTTAGCCCCACCGGCATCAGGGCTTACGACGCAGCAGTTCTGCCAGTCGTTGATATTCTTCTGAATCCACTTAATAACAGCCGGCTCAGCGTAGAGATTGTCCACGGGAATGTCAAAAAATCCTTGAATTTGGCTAGCATGCAAGTCCATGGTCACAATGTGATCAGCACCAGCTACTGACAACATATTTGCAACAAGTTTGGCAGATATGGGGGCACGTGATTTATCCTTAAGTAAAAAGTACATGAAAAGTTAATGATGAAAAGAACTTTACCAAAGCGGTAAAAAGTGGAATTAAAAACAGATTTGACCACTTAGACTAAAAAAAAGTATATTCATAATCACTACATATGATAGCAAAATCGAGAACACAAAAAAGAGTAACATGAACGTAAATGTTTAGATGGCCAAAACTTAACGGTTTCACTAAGCATAAATCAAGTAAAAAATCACCATATATTTACGTGGGACGCGAAATCACAGAAAGTGTCACATTAAAACGCAAAATAACCACCATCATACTTTTTTATCCTGTCTGGCATAAGGGAAGCATGGAATGACTGCAGTCACGCGGCATGACGACGCAATCTTGCAGGCATTGATCATGATTAGCAGCTCCATCAAGTTATCATTTACTTCACCACTACCTGTTTGGATGATGTACACATCTTCTCCCCGAACAGATTCGGCTACTTCAACACTAAACAGCAATCGACTTAAAAATAAAAACACTACTTACCATGTCTCTCGGTTGCTAAACTTCTTCGAATTTACGTTTCCTAACTGAATTCCAATATGATCTGTTATTCTTTTGGCTAGATCAACATTGGAACAGCCTGCGAAAACCTTGATGTTTGGCATGCCTTCTATTCAGACTTCGCTGTAACCGATAGCAGCTAAACAAACAGAATGAATGCTATTGAAAGCCGACATGGTATCTTCAAGGCCACTGTTTAAAAGGAACCAATTGCAAATTCAGATAAAAATGTATCCAAAACCAATCATCTTCAAGATTTCTTAATTCGGCTGCTGAAAGTGCACTCAACATGAAAAAGTAAAGTGACAATGAAATTTTTTCCTTTTTCATTAAAGAAAGCAAACATAAACTTAAAAGGAATTTTTTACGTCTCTATAACAGATATTGGCAAAACAAAATTAAAAACTTTGCTAAGATCCCTTAATTTACTAGCCTATTTCAATCAATGAGGTGGCTCAACGATTGCACTAAAATCTTATCCATCCATATGTGTTTGTTCGTTTCTTATATTAAAAAACAAAGCCTTGGTAAAAAATCTGTTGTCTTGAACAGAATCACGTTCCTCAATCAGGAAACCTGCAAGATTCTAACAGGCTTGCCCATGCCCACAAAGTTAAGAGACATGCTTCTTGAACATTGCTTCTACGTTTATTGCTTGGGCTGACAGACTATCAAAATCATAGTTGACAGGAATCAGCACAACGAACGTGTTAAACCGCTGCTCAGATCTAGGCTAAATTCTGGTTTAACCGCTCTTATTTCGCCGATAACCACTTATGAGGCTTAACTCATGGTGAGTCCATGAGTTTTGTACAGAAGAACCTGATGGAGCAAAACGTAAAATAAAATAGCGACAATACCAGAAAATATACGTTAATGTTTTAAGAAAAAAAGAGAATAACCACTTTTAGGGAAGTAACATTACCAAAAGCAGTTTTTAAGTGTGTATGATGCTGTAGATACAATAATAGGTACCTGAGATGTACCCTAACCAAGGTTCTGTTGCCATCACCAGGATACCAAACAAAGTAACTGCACATCGATAGTTTTTCAGTTTTATTTAAATATCATATTTCTTGAATGCCTGAAATTTAGCCCTTAAAACGGTGCTAATTAACCGCCCAAAAAGCTTGAGAACAAAGACTGGTTGGATTTGACCCGGCTGTATATTAATGCACAACCTAGAAGAACGTATTATTTTTCTGCGCGGATACCACAATGAAGCAAGGATACATGGAGGCTGGTGTAACCAATGAAAGGCGAGGGCGAGTAGAGTAACAACTAGCCTAAGGTGAACTTTTAAAACAACTCTTGATATTACGCCTCTGTTAGCATCTTCATGACGTAATGTCTTTACATAATACAGATACACTGGTAGGCCTAACTGTTAAGTTTCACAGTGCCGATTTGTGTTAGAATAGTTGGTACCTAGTGTTGGGTTAGGATTTCGCCATTGTTCACACTACTCCCCTAATCATACATTAGCACGACAAGATCGGTTTTGGCGTCAAACAATAAATAAGAGGTGTGCCAGTTATCTTATTACATGTGAATCATTAATAATAATGCTACTACTACTACTACTAATAATAATAATAATAAATCGGACAGTCAATCCTACCCAACTTTTCGGAATAGGAAGTCTAGTAAATAGGGCATCATTAATTAGGTATTCGCCAGAAAATATGCTCTTGACTTATGTTCTTGACACATTTACCATTTAGTTAATTTTTTTGGCATAAATTCCGACCTAGTAGAATTATAGGAGTGTCGTGATAAATTTCTCTTAACATGTTCCAGTTCCTAAGAAAAAATTCAGGAAATTACTGTGGCCGTCTATTTAACTGTAATTAGAATCGCAACAATTTACAAACACGACGGCATCTTCAGCAGAAACGAAATTTAGGACCAAGCTGTTACATGTGTATCTACCTTATTCATATGTAAACATAAATTGTCGTTCCTCAAATTATGGCATACTGAGCCAAGTGACATGAGAATCCAACTGCAACTCTTTGGTCTGATCCAAGCATGCATAAGCCAGTTAATTTACCTTTGCGCTAGAACTGGACGCCACGTCTTTCTTGCCAGACACATTTAAAGTTTAGAAAGTCAGTAATGCCAATTTGTTGGCACCTGTGTGAGTGATAATTTTCAGGTGCGGAGAGGGAAATTACAAAAATTCTGCATTCCGGATAAGGCACTGCATAACAAAACGATGTCAGTAAACACCGGTATTCTTTGCGTTGTAGACAAAATTGTTGCGTTTTGTTCGTAACCCGATAACCAGTGCCCCCCATTCGTTGTCTGACGCATCCATGACAAGACCCTGTAGTGGGCCCCGGTGCGGTTTTAGAAACCACACCAGGGCCGACAATCTACACTGACACGGCCCGACCGAAAGAGCAGAAAATGCGAACGGCTCGTAGCTCAAGTAATTTATTGATGCAGCCGTGTGTGTGTACAAGATAACAAGTACGTTTATACAGCCTTGCTAAACGTCGATCCCTGAACGAACATAGTTAGGTGAAGTTCATTCACGTAAATCAATTGAATCGTGTTCGTTCGCGTGCTGCTTACCACAACCCCGAGCAGAGAGCTACTGTCATCTCAACCAAAGGCCGAGTGATCTGTCAGAATGTTGACACTTGTAGAAGTCAAGGGTGATATTGACCCGATGGATCAAGGAGTATTTTAAACAGATTAGTTGTCAGTAGGTTGCCGTGGTGACTCACTCGCTCAATTGGCGTGGCTAGGGGAAAGATGTGAACAATGGCAAAATCCTAACCCGCGATGAGCCGACCTAGGGAATACTGAATCCCCAACAAAAAGGCTAAATTTCTTCCCGGAAAACAATTCTACGGGGGTAGCTAGTCATTTCACGTTGGCCTAAGATAGTATTTTGCTCAAACGAATCCAGAGGACACCTATTTCACGTCTCTTTGGTCTGTTAAGAAGGCATGATGATGCGGCAACACTGGACCCAAATCAGCAGCTAACCGCGTCCTTCGGCACACATTGACAAAGTCGATGTGGAATCCGTATCAGATCTGGCTCCACAGGCAACTGAATGCTCCAATTTCATATATTTATCAGCTGACAAGAAATTCCCGGTTTTCGACTCATGTGCCTTCCATTTTAACAACGATCTCGAATTCAGTCAGTCTCTCTGTTTCGTATTGATTGGATAGTTTGAACTAACATGGAACTGGTTGATTTTAGTCACGCTTAATGAGTGCAGGTACTTTGTTAACCGCCTGAATGGATGGTTTGCTGCACACTGAAAACAGTAAAATAGACGATGGTTCTGATGAAAGTGAGTGGAAGCAGACGGACAAGGAGGCGGAAGAGAATTCCAAGGTCTACTTTGTTTTCTCGGCGGAGTGGATGGCTGTAGTTAGCGAAGGCCAAAAGATCTACCTTGCCGCGTTTGCATCATTTTATGTCTTTAGTCTATTAGTATTCTGTTATTGTATCCTCCAAGATTCAACCATGGTTCATAGCTTGAAGCTGAAGGCTTTTCTTAACACACGACCAGATGACCCCATATTGCAGAAAGTCAATTTTGAGGCCAAGGTACGTAGGTATCTGAAATGGTTCCCAGGTAGTCATTTTCTTCTGCTTTATTCAATCCAGCCCTCTCGGACAGTGGGTTTTTATATAATAAAAAAAACCTGTGCTATACGTCCGTCATAAGTAGAACTTCTGATTGATTTGCCAGCATTAACTAGCACAGTGATAATGATCTTCCAGAATTTCTAAAAGTATGGTTTCCAAATTCAGAAAAGTAGTTTTATTTAACTCTGAAATTTTGAGAAATGTTGTGCGTCTCTAGTCCTTTGGTGCTAGTTGCTGTATGACACCTAGCAGCGTCATCAATCTTAGCGTAAACAAGCTGGCAGTCATTGGCACGGCTATTTAAGACGACTGTAACGATATTAGGCAGGAAAGCAACTGCTGTGGGCCCCAGCATGTGGTCTTGAACCCCACCGGGGCCACGCAATTAACCCTGGCCCGATTACTTTTCCCCAATACCCGCGATGAAGAAAAGAGACCGGAGAGGACTTGAGTTCACAGCTCAACCAAAACGTATGTGTGTGGGGTTCGTGCGTGTGTATTTATACCTCGGATGTGTGAGTCATACATGCGCTAACGTCGAGACCTATGTGTGGGGATACTCCAAGATAAATATTCGTGCTAATGAAGGGGGAGTCGGGGATTCGCGCGGCTGGCGACATGCTGTGACAAGGAGAACCCTGTGTAGGAGGTGGAGCGACCGGATTAAGGGTTTGAACAAACACGATTCACAACACAACAATGCCTAGTGTACTAATCGATGTAAACTTGTTTAACTGATCAGCGGTCAACTGTGTTCACTAAATATTTGGCACTACTAGACGTCTACGAAACGCTTAGATGATATTATCATGTAAATGGTAATTGTTAATTTATTAGAGCAGAAAAATGCCCATGTCGGACCATTTACCAAGCAGAAACTTCACTATAAGTGATTTACTAAAGCGTAAATTGACCAAAATGCAGACAATTTTAACCTGCTTGTTACCATGCTAAACATTTAACTTCGATGGAATAGGTTTCGAAACTGTTGTTGTCGTCTCTCTTACTTACTTCTGTTCCATTGTAGGTTATTTTCAGGACAGGTAACTGGTATACAATACAAGAGACCATTGTCAACCCGACCAGGGGTATCGGTGGCTACCGGAAGAGTTACCCGCTCATTCGCGACAAGCTCCATAGTGCCAGAAGCATGTACAAGCGCTGCCTCACCACGAATTTCCGCACCTCTCCCATCCTCGACATGGCCAACCTCTTCCTCGTGGTGGGCAGCGTCATTTATGTGTTCGCGGGGCCTTTGGTTATCCTCTCTCGCGGTGCCTTTTATCAATGTTCGATGCTGGGCTCAGTTTTCCTCGGAGCCTGTTTTCTCTTAAACAAAGCAGCATCGGGATTCCTATTCGACTGTCTCTTGAATACACAGTCCATCCAAGTCGACAACCATGGAGGGTACAAGGAGAAGCTCTACAATATGACCCTGTTCGAGGCCGAGTCCCTCATGGAAAAGGCGACTACGTCGGGTTTGGGGGTGCTTGTTGCTCTGCTCGGATTCCTTCCACTGGCCATTATGGGTTGCTTGGGGATAAAACTTCTTGGGAGGCCAGTGTAAACAACATTCAGCCTAACGTAGAAGACCTACTTGTGTTGTTAGTGGAAGAATATAAAAACTGGTCGGCGTAAATGGCGTTCATTGAGGATCGATCAGTATCGCATTTGCCTCGGTTTCAATACCCACATGCGTAGGAGGCCCAATGTGCTCGATCTTCCGCTAACAAGGGAGTTTGCAACATTCCTTCCAGTACTTTAGTTGCTATGCTGCTGCAGCATCACTTGTTGCCAGGACCTGTTTACAGCCAGACAGCTCAGTAGCTCCTGATTATTACCGGATAGTTTTAACATGTCAATTCAATAAACTTGTCACTTTTGTGAATGCTACGTAGACCCCTTGAGGATGCACCTCATTTGAACCAATCGCATACGCTCTGGTGAAGCGGATTTACAAAAACACAATGCATTTTGTCTAAACACTATTGGTTTTGACAATTTGAAGCGAACCGGATTTGGATACTCAGTGAAGTCACTATACAGGAATATCTAAGTTAATTTTATGTAATGCAAGAGGGCATAATGTGAACTTGCCAAACTTTACCATTTTTAAGATGTCACCGAACGGATTAGAGAACATTTAGCAAGCTTTCTTCGTAGGTGTGCATTACCACATCACCATGGTGACGCCAAAACGGCAAAATGCAGAGCAGAACTAGCTTAAAGTGGAGCTTATGATTTTGGTCATATTCAGTTCTATGGCATTCACTTTTCACTATTCAACTGCTCACACGAAGGTCCCCATCAAGCTTTTGGAGTTTGTGTGTAAGGTATTTATTCGGTTGCCTTGGCTAGTGTTTGCTGTCTTGAATTGTCCAGCACTGCTACTATTTACACATAAGTAGTAAATTTATATGTATCGTCATTTCATAAGGTAGTATTTATTAAGCCAGTCGCAAGATAAAATCATCGATATTTAAGTATTTATAAATATATACACGCAGCATCATCGATTCTTGTCCTAGTGTTCCCCAGTCATCTCGACCACCGACCAGATTTTTCCAGGTCGTTTTGTCTGCGAAATCTCACTGGTGGTTGTCTCCTCGCAACCAGCAACCAAATTCGGTGGCGAAAACCTGCCAGATTTGTGGATCTCATCAGAGGTGCCTGGAAAGTCCTCGTCAAGTTCGGGAAAGGGCTGTTCCAAAGCAAGGCTCCAAGTTGCCTTGTTCTCCTTCTTCAGACGCCGTCTCGCGTTAGCAAACCACGTAGAGACCTGGGTTAGGCTCATTTTCGTAATCACAGCCAGCATTATCTTCTCACTCTTATTTGGATAGGGGTTTTTCCGGTGTTCATTTAGCCAGGCTTTGAGGAGTCCCGTGGTCTCGCGGGTGGTGTTTTTGCGTCGTGGTGCTCCGTGGCCGCTCACTTTCATTGAATACCTACACAACGAATAAAGAAGTCTTCACACTGGCTACAATTATCCTGCGACCGCTCAACGAGTATTGAACAGCCTTGGTTGAATCCTCAAGACAAGCACAATTAAGTAGTATTTCACTTGATCGAAAAATACACGTGTCTTCGGCTTCCACGAGTGATCGCGAAGTGTGTAAAACTTCCATAATAACTGTGATCCCATTGGCTACACACTAATTTTCAACTCTTTTTCAAAGGAAATTAAAATTCATTCAAAGGGGAAAGAAAAAACGTCACATCTAAACTGTGCACTCGAAGTAAGGACTCGTCATTCCGTGCACCAATAAGGTAGGATCAAGGACATTGACCTTTTAACGATGTTGATCTTAAAGTTGTTAGTCGATCGGAGCCCCGGCCAAGTCACCCCAGATTGTAAAATTAGTTGTTCAAAGACAGCAGTGCGAATTCCCCTTCAGTAGCCCCTGCGTTTCTGCCTTGATGGATGCCAAGTAATTTGTTGGACGGAGGTTTAGGGACAAAATATCGTTGGATGTGCTGATCAGCAGGTCTCCAGGTAGACTCATACGTGGCGAAATCAGTCCAAACTTTGATCCAAGGGCAAAATTAGGTCACAGTGGACACCCCTGTCTATGGCCTAAGAAGACTCGCCCTAGGCAGCTAATCGTTTTATCGTGGCTTTCAACTTTGTCAGTTCACTAGTCTGTATCATTCAAAGGGTTAAATCAACTCTTGAATTAAACAAGTTATATATGATGGGGGTTGGTAGCTTCGGTTACCTGAAATTTTGGTACATTTTGATTGTCTGCGCGTCCAAGTGTCCGGTATAGTTGGCCTGCCGGAGTCGTCTCACCTGTTCAGATTCCTCCTGTACAATTAACAAACACGATGTGAATAATGATGTGTTTACACTTTGCTACAGTGACAAATATTTTTATTTGGTCTGTCATGAGTGAATTCTAGTTTGAGGCACTTTAACTAGAACGTATCATTAACAAAAAGCACTAAACAAAATGAGATGTTTTGCCATCGTGATGGTCGAAGGCATCGCAGTTAATTACCAACATGGCATCCCAAGGTAGTCAGTTTCTTTAAATTCTATGTGTGGCTCAAACAAGCAATAATAAATATTGTCTCACAAGGTATCCGAAATTTCAGTGGATTACACAGCTTGGGCCATGTGTGGCAAGTCTGTGAGCCACAAGCTTTACACCTGCGGTTTCTCCCATTAAGGGTGGTATCATTGAATTGCACACCCTTCTGAACGTGGGAGTAGGTCGTGGCGTTAATTATGAGCAGTTAAACACCGACATTCATGACTCGAATCTGTACGAAGTTGGTCTCTGACAATGCATTACATCCAATATTGGATTTGACTGCACCAAATTTGGCTGGACGCTTTTTCAACGAATTTAAACTCTTGATCGCGCTTTTTATAAAGTGATAAACCCTCAACTTGGAGAATATACCACCACGCGGAAACTGCTTCAGTCCCGATTTCTGCAGGTGGTTCTCTTACCTTACCTGAGCTGAATGTTCCCAATCAAGTCCATCGTAAGGAAACGGGTTCGCTGGTGGAGCCAAAGGGATGGTCGAAGCCGGCCCGGGGATGAGAGGACCTGCCTTCGAGGTGTTCAGGATGTCTTCCAGCTGAAGAGCTTCGGCGACATAAGGGAAGGGTGGCTTGACTGGCGGCGGCGGTGGTGGTGGCGGCGGCTGAGTGGACACAAGTAGTGACCGCATCCACTGCAGCATGACCACTGGATGCGGTGGACAGGCAGCCGAGGGGAGAGAGGTGTTCGGAGGTAAGTGAGGGGGTGCCAATGAGTTTGCAGCGGCGAAGTGTGGAACAGGTGGTACCATTCCACACGGGTGGCGCGGTGTCGTAGAAGTTTCGTTCATGGGGTGTGCCATTACCTGATGGAAATAATTTTTTATCCACGTGAAGCCTCCTCGCATTACATTCACCTCCAAAATCATTTTAAATAAGCGAAACCATGATCACGCACGTATGTATTCGTAAACGTGACCTCCGTTGAAATCAGCGTAATTATAAAAGGATATAAAATGATTTGATTCAGATTGAGGTACACTTCAAATGCTGCACGGCTTAATCTAGGGTTAAGAAGCTGGTTAAAGCAAAAATTGGCGGTAGGGTATGTGTTAGTTTAATTGGTGTATAATTTTCTAATAATGGCCATGTCACAAGGTACTTACTGGTTTGTAGCTCCTCTTGTGGCTTCCGATTTTCACGAATGTTTCCACAACTGCAGAAAAACTAGTTAAATTCTCCAAATTTTATGCAAAGGGGAGAGGTTAGGAGAGTTTCTATTGGTTACACGCATGTTACGCCCGTGTTGGCTAGTTTACACTTGGTAAGCGAACATGACGCTCGCTCACTGAATCGACCAATCAAAGTGACGGTCATCAATGCCCCACCCTTGGCTTCACATTCATTGGCCAGCGGATTCAATTGCGGCTGATTTGCAAATCGTCGAAAATTAGTTAGTACTATAAAAGAGGTTCTTTAAAGAATGCTAAAATAACCTTTAATCGGATAGATCTTGAATGGGAAATCCGAATTTCATTGAAGAAAAACACTTAGCACAAATCCTATAACCGGGAGTTATTTCCACAAATTTGACAACATTTTAAACTCCAAACACTAGGGAATTTCGATATCCCTGTTGGTTAAGGGGTTGCGCATTGGTTTCACATACCGAGAACATCTAGATTGCGTTCTACTGCGTTGTCTGATCAAACACCAGCTAGTTCCCCAGAGGCCACTTTATTTTCGGGTTGCATGGACGCAATTGTGGACATTTTAATCGAATGAAAGACACGCCTAATTACCCCATCGGTTAATTTGAGACAAATTGAAATCCTAGCAACTAAGCTCTACTCTGTGTTTGCCTCATCAGTGACCTGTTTTTTGCCAATATTAATCCATTCTTTTGGTGGAAAAAAACTTGTAATACACTTAGAAGACTCCTGGAACGAAGCAGTTTTGTGATGCATAAGAATCCTATGGAAGGGACAAAAGGGATGACGGGAGAGATGTAACTTGTTCTTAAAGCGGGTTTAATGAAGAACATCTTCTTGTGTTGTTGGAGCTTAGGGAGGTGAAGCCCAGTCCCTTGTAAAGTGTAGAAAGCAAAGTTAAAAACGCCCTGCATCGGAGCTGCAGACTCCCGTTTAGCCCCCTAAAATCTACAGACATTTTTGTGAATTCAGGTGTCTACTTTAGCATTTTGGTGAGCGTCATTCCTTGTCGACGGTTTCATAATATTTTTTTCCTGGGAATTAATTCCACCAGCGAGTTCACTGACCCCCCCCCCGCCCATGTAAGCCACGGCCGCTCGCTAAACAGAAACGACTTCAATTGATTCCAGGACACCAAAATGACAGAAAAAGCGGTCGAGACGTTTTTGTGGCACTCAATTTGGATTCACGGTTCACCACCCACAGACCACGCGTAAGGAATAAGCAAAAACGAGCATGTGTGGTTGAACAGCTAAAGGTACAATGACTCCTCCCCGAGAGTAATTATGATGGCCAGTTTGATTGTCGTGGTGTGGCATGGGGGAGGCGGGCAAGGGAGCGAGAGAGAGAGAGGCCACAACACGCAAGATGCACCCGCTTATCGTACTCCGAAATCAGCCCCCCACCCCCCAGCGATGCCTTTGAGGAGCCTCGAAGACCAATGCCATGCCTTCCTTCCTCCGAAAACACCCTACCAGATTTTCTGCTATCGCTGGGAAGAAATCAGGAATCTGGCGAGTGAAGTACAAATGTGACAACGCATCTTGATTAGGGACTTGGTGGACACGCAAACAGGTAATTACTTTCAAAGCAGCACCATAAAGATTCCTCAACACCAGTGCTCGTGATGAAGCTTGCTCAGCTCTCTACCCAAGTGGGATCTCTCACCGGCGTAGTGGGAGTTGCGTCAACCGGATTTCTTCGTGGTGTTCGAGGGAACATTGCATTCCAGAGTTCTAGAACGTGGTCAGTTATTGATAGCAGCGAGATTAAAAAACTGTCCTTTTTTAAATTTCGTGCTACGTGTTTCTGTGTAGTTGTCCGATTGTTTGAATGGTCCTCATGTCTCCCGCTTAGAAATAAACTTATAAGATATGCGGTAGAGTAGACTAAGGCAGTCTAGCATCAAAATCTGAAAGGAAGCCACGTAATTGCACAGAAGCGACTTGAACGAATTGTAAAAATAGATCCTTAAAATCAATTTAGGGCAAAATTTGAAGTCCCTACCACCGGTCATATGAAGTCGGAAACAACTGTGGTGTTGAAAGGGAACATCGTTTCTCCCTTCCAACTGTCAAGTTGTGTGGAAATGGAAAAAGCCGAAAAATACGAAAAGAGGTGCTGTGGACTGGTAAAGCGAAATACAAGGTAGCTTGATCCCTTATCAACGCAATTTGCGGTTAAAGAACACGCATCACAGTAATCGGATACCACGATGTTTCTCATTCGGTAGAAATGGAACCTTGGCCTTTATGAGACATTAGTGGTTGTATTAAAACATAGAATTAACCAAAAACGCAGTCTTCATTTGTGCAGAGCTTTGGTTAAGGGACTTTGGAATACTTGATTGGCTGTCCCAGTCCAATGACCACAGACTGGCTCAATTGGTATTGAGCAAACTTGACCGAAACACAATACAGGGCCGTTTAACCTCTCAAATCAACCTTAGGACGCAAGTATCGCTGGCTTTTCCCAATAATCTTATTAATCGATGGTTAAAGGCAGTGAATTTAGTAGTTGAAATCAAAAGTAAAGCAGCCATCTGCCAAATATGTCAATAACTCCCAAGAAAGCATTCGTTGTTTACCTAGTGTTGTAAAATTTGAATTGTGCTTGGGAAAAAAGTCGCTGTCGCGGGAGGGTGTGCGAGGCGAGGGCAATCCGTGGCACCCGCGAGTTCTCCTCCTATCACCTCCCAGCATCGTCACCTCCCGGCGCCTACAGGCCTCCCCCCACCCCGCCTCCACTTTGCTGACCCGCCATCCGGGGACTGGGCTAGTGGCGAGGCCTGTTAGACAAACAGATTTGCTATTTCTTCCAAACTGAAGCGACACCGCAAGCTAACTGGTCATCTAATGTTTTCTGTGACTTTTTTAATGTAAATGTTGGTTGGGAGAGTAAGACCGTGTCCAAATCGAGTCAGACTAAATTGCATACCTGGGTTAGAATTGTGGGTTCCAAAATGAGTTCTTCTTTAGACGTGAAGTTAGGGAAGGCTGGGTATTTTTGGGATCAAATCCGATAGTCACCTTCAACCAGGATTTCGTGTGAGAACACCTTCGTGGAAGGAGTGTTTTAGTCTGCCACTAACTTCCACAGTCGAACTGGGCATTGAGACTCATAGAAAGTGTTAATGTCCGCCCTGGAACTTAGTAAATAGATATTTTTGCCAAACATGAACTTCTGCTTCGAAACCTCCACTCAATTTGGCAACCTGCAACTTCTGGAGATCGAACCTCGGTTGTGCGAACTTGTGAGCGTGGCCAATCGAACGAGCAAGTGGTTTACTTTCAGGTCGATATGTCCTCTAACTAGGGCACCAAAACGGATAGACTTAGATGACGGCAAAAGCCAATCAACGTGAAATCCTGGTGTGCTAGATCACTAGGTTCTTAAAAAAAACAGATGAGGGTGTTTTCGCGTTATCAAACAATTTGGAATGACCCTATTGAAACTGGTCGGTATTTCAGTCAACCTTGTCCTAGCCTCTTTTTACTTTTTTACCAAAATCGGAAACTACATCACCCTCATAATTGGCTAACATTACTGCAAGATAAAACTTTAGGCATATCATTGTTCTATACCCTTTACTCCGTCGCGCGCCAGTAACCATGACTGTTATTTATCATTTCCCGTTAATGCCTTTGTTTAACTCGTCTAGCGCGCTCGCTGGGTGGTCAACTGAATTTCGACCGCCCAATGAGCGGTACTCAACGCCAGAAATGTTTGTTGTAAATCATGCCTTCGAACCTATTGGCTGTTTGGTTATTAATTGGTACCTGACTTTTAAGGTAACATCACTGCATGCATGACGGAAAGCAGAGTAGACCAAGCTGAATTTTTGTAAAGGTTGGTTAATGACATCGGTTTGTCAATCCTCACAACCTAACTCTGGTTGGCGCTTTATAAAAATACGGACAAAAGTACGCAGAATGTGGGCAAATGTGGTTTCTCTCTCTTTAGTTAACTTCTTTTACGGTCACAACTTCGTAACGTGAATAACTTACTCTGACACTGATCCTGTTAGTTAGAAAATGAGTGTCAGTTAATTGAAGAGCGCACGGATGTCACTGTCGGATCAGCCTGTGTTAAGACTCATTTTCTCAAACCAATTGTGTGGCGGATTCATTTAACCTTGCAAATGCAAGTTAGCCCAGGAGGTATGTTTAGTACCTATGCATCTTAGTGCTAACTTCGACTAGCAGTGGCAGCAAGACTCCTAGTCGAATGACATTTGTGTTTTAAAAATCTTCGTTCTCGCTCACGCAGTTGTATGAGCCTTACCAGGATTATTAATTTCACGTGAGTTCAGATCGCCCACAAATACAGAGCACTGTTCACTGAACTGAAGTCAAATACCAAGTTTTGGGGGCGGGGAGAGGCTGGACTAAGGCGACGCGCTCTGCTCAACAGTAGGCTTGCGTGCCACTAATCTTGATGTGTGTGTGTGTGTGTATTCGCGTACCCGTTTGCCTGAGCCCAGTCTCCTTCCCTGAGGTGGTAGCTACTGGGCTCCACCCCGCTCTTTTGCTGCTGATCACTCGCAAATGATATAAGCAGGGAGTTGAGGAGGGAGAGAGGGAGGGAGGCAGGTGTGGGACGAATACACGCACACACCAAAATCGGCTAACTTAACCAGGGAGAGAGGGAGAAAGTACTCACACACACACACACACAAAATGCAATTCTTCACATCACGCACAATATCCGGCGCCTGATAGTCCGGATTGGGAAGGTGAATGGGGTTGGGGCATCGCGTGTGAGTGAACACTCGTCAGTGGCACATGTGAAAGGCTCAGAGGGGGGAGGGAGAGTGCAGTGGGAGGAATATAAACAGGTAGAAGTAGAAATTTTGTTGCTTTCTTTGAAACAGAACTGGGTAGACTGTGTTAAAGTGTAGCGTGGTTAATTTGTCTGGCGAATGGCTTTAATCAACATAATTTGTAATGTTGGTGGATCTGAGGCTCATTTTTTGCGGTTTAGCTTATTATTTTGGAAGACTCAGTTGTTAGGCCCAACAACTTAAATTGGCAGAGTGAAAATGCGATCAGTTCCTCGGGTAAAGAGATACTCGATTTTCAACAGTATATTTACCTGAAGCCACAGCCAAGCTACATGCTGGACATTTTCCTAAGCAAGTTAATATTAACCTGCTGATTCAGGGGAACAATAAAATTATTTAAGGTCCTTCTTTTAAACAAGTTTAGGAATGATAAATGTATCAGTTTAAGGCGAAATCACCCCTTTTTCTCAATCTACTTTTTCGACCTACCAACGGACAGTCGAATTTAGTGATTTAAGTGGTTTGAGACTCAGGTGCAAGGCACGAATACATCAATGGCTGATCTGCTTTTTTACTTTTCTGTTGATGGCTGCGTTATGACATCCATTGTGGTCGGCCACTAAGGCAACGTCCACTCCATCTCCAAACTGTTCTCGGAAGCTCCAATTACCCCTTATTTTAAGCTAGTCGCCTCCTTTTGTGATAATGGCAATGCGGGTGGCCGCTTACTTCTTATTGTAATAGCAAAGATATCGGCACTGCAGTCGGTCTAAACGTCAGGCAGACGGTGGGCAGTGTAAATAGAGCAAACAAACGGTCCACCAGCACCGTCAGGTTCCGTGTTGATCGGGCCACCGGAGTTGGTGGCTCGCGATTCAGCGTCCGATAAACGCCACGGCCGACACCGTGTCTTCCGGACGATGCGGTGGCGCGACAGGTGAGCGATGGCCAAACACACGCACGCCGTGATGCCTGTCGCCTGATAGCTAACCATGGGAACAGGGAGAACCGTAAAAATAATACTACTTTAGCAAATTGCGTGCCCGGTGCAAATGAGGGCAAGTTTTGTCTGCTTGCCTGGCGCCTAGTGCGGCTCACGCGGCTGTCAATTGTCGCTGATTCAGGGAAACACCGGCTGCTGCCGAATTGGCAAAACCGCGAGTTGCAGTCTCGCTTGAATGGATTTGAGGCGATTACCACTTGACTCTTCTTCCTGACTCAATCTCGCCTGATCTGACTGCTTAGTACACGATAATGTAATCTTTTTTGGCAGCGAGTGCGTGGAATTAAGGGTTCGTCCCTTCCAACACTTGGTATCTACTGCATTACAAGTATAATGCCTTGCTAAAAGGTAGTGCTAAAATTACCCCAGGCTTTTCTCGGGATTGGTATTTTAGTGTGCTTTGGGCCGTACCTTATTCTGGGAAATGTTAAACTGGAAAAGCTAAATGTTTTGACTTCTAGGGTTCATAAATCATAAAAATAGTCTGTGGATCTTGTTATTTTATCAGTGATATTACATTTGCCAATAGTTTTACCTACACACACAAGAGTGCAGCTACTCATAAGCATCAAACATTTCTTAAGAAATATTTAATCTGCTTTCTTCCACAAACCACGTTTGTTTGGGTTGGACAGGAGAAGGTTGAGGGCTATTAACATGCATTGGCTGGGATAAAATCCCTCGACGGTGTGAAAAAGACATAATTATGGTTAGGTGCAGGCGGTTTCCTTAGCAACTGAGATGAGTAGGCAAAATGAACGCGAGTGTCTACTCATCTGCCGTGCCTATCAAAGCAAAAATAGACTGACGCTGCAATCCCGATGATTATTTTTCTTTTTACTCTCCCTAACACCAACTAAAACCCCATGCTGCCTTCGAAGGGTTACAATAGATCATGTCAACATTTATCACATGTAGCACAAGGGAACGTTGTGTCTTCGGGAATGGTTTAATTTTGATTTCAATCTTACCTATGAGACAGTTGAAGTCGATAGGAGGTGCGACTTGGGACAGCTGAAGTTACAAAAACCCCATTTTGCATTCTGTGTCCATTTCTGCGGCACCAATCCGTTCCTAGAAGCCCACTTATGTATAATTCTATATTTATGAAATGCGTGATAAATTGTAACACTGCCAGCGTCCTAACAAATTTGGCTTTTGATAATGATCGGTATAAAGGTGTGTTCATTTCGACTCATGAATATCTAGAGTAATTATAGCTGCAATAATAGAATGACCAGACTTTGGTAAGTAATGCATTCCATGTTCAGTCGGAAATCACGTAGAATTGTCGATTAAAATCTCAAAGAAATTAAATAACATTTTATTAGTACACTCCACCAGAGGCAATTCAAACTAACGCCGAAGCAAGCGACAAGATTAAAAAAACCTCCAATCCCAATGGGACAGAACTTCCAGCTTGAATAAATTAGCTCCTGTTTTGCTGTGCGTGCACTGACGTGGAAGTCTTGTTGGTCAAATGGATATTACTACTGCGGTTCTGATTATCCAAAGGAGCAGGTTATTTCATTAATCTACGACCCCCACCCCAGCCTGTCCAGTGGTTCTTTGGGCGATCAAAACATGTCCATTCAGGCGTTACAAACCGCGTTTGTGGAGGAATGAACAAACTAAGTGGATTACTTTGGTAAGCGGACGCATGAAACGAGTGTTTGCAGAATGTTGATGGTGTCCTGCATTAAGACACACCGTTTTCCGCTTTGTTAAGAGCAGTAAACTTGGGAGTATTGCCGACCCACAACTTAAGGGAATGTTTACCTTTAGCTTCATGGAATACGCGTTTCCTAATCAAGGAATTCATGGTTGAGGGGGTAAGTAGTGAAGAACAGGACATAAACCACAAATCAATACCATTTTCAGATGAGTTTTTCTGAACATTTTCACAAATTTTCTTTGTTTTGCATTCACGTCTGACAAATTGAGAGCGAACTTGAATTGATTTCGTGGTTTTGCCACTCCTTCTGGCCTCAAGTTGCCTTCATATATAAATTTTAACCTTAATGTGATATTAAAACTTGTTGCCTGTTATTTTACTAAGTTATGCTCAGTGGAGGGAGCAATTGGTCCTTGTTTTAAACAGACCATGCTTTCTATATTTCATTATTGAATGTGAATAACTCATGAGTCCAGCTAATGACCAGTTGCAGCATGACATATCCTTGTTTCAATTTACTGAATAGCACTCAGTCCAAGAAGGATATAACATGACTTAAAAGTTTCATGAGTGTTTTAAAATTGACTTTTCGACTCTGTAGTAATTCGGATTGGCTCAATTTCGGTGCCGATGTGAAATTTTAAAAGTGACGTCTCACCAGAGCACCTTACCTGCTCATGGGGGGCATTTTGTGAATGGAAAAGTCGTGCATTCCACACTAACGCCATTCTTCGAATTCCGAGAAAACTAATCCCGTGGGTGGGAAATTGCTTGAGATTCTGTCGCCAGTAGCCAGTAGTTCCGTGTTCACTCCTGTCGACAGCGTCCAGGGTGAAGTTATCGCGTTTGGAGGCCTCTGTTCATAAGGCGTGATTGCTTGCGAAATGTGGATCACTGTACGTCGTACTTTATACAGGTGCTTTGCATGCAATGCACAATCTACATGCTACCATCAAGGCATCATGAAGTAAAGTGCTTAAACGAAATGCAGTGTGTTATCGAGGTAGACTAGTTTCCATGGTATCTTGCATCACTTGCATAAACGTGCATGATCAGTTTGAACAGGCGTCGGATTGATATCGTTTTCCACTAAAAACCACACAGAACAGACGACGGCGACAGTACCCCACGGTATTCGGAGTGAATTATGAACCATTGGATTAAGACCCGGCTTTTTTTTACAAATAGGGTGAATTCTTGAAGTGGCAAGAATCAACTGACTGTGAATTGTGAAACGTTTAGTTATCGCACACGTTCGAACTCACATACAGTTGAGCCTCATTTAAACTGCCAAGTTTGGGAGTCAAATCGCCTTTAAGGCAGTGAATGGAGGACACCTAAGTTACCCTAGTGTTACTACAAATTATTATAAGATAAATGAATCAGGAGGACTGTCTTCACCTGAATTGAAGTGGCAATTGACTTTCATTTCATTAACTACGATAGATGAATAAACGCACACATGACAATAACGCGGAGACCGCACAACGATGTACTTATTTCAGAAGAAATTTATGCTGTCTACGCATCTCAGTTACCTGGAAAAACATTTATGTAAATTTGCTGAACGACAGTAAAATGTTTTCGCTAGATTCGCCGCAGAAACGGGGTCTATAAAGTTTGGTCTGACAATTTGGCACCTGAAAATGATTCTTCAATACATGTAGGACAAAATAGAACCTTCACTTTTTGTCGCGTAACGAAACGGCATTAGAAGAAGTTTCCATGACCATGTAAGACGCATCAGATGCAAAAATAGTGTAGGAATACGTTGACTGTTCGAAAAGAATGCAGTGTCAGGGTAGACCCCTGAATCCCGTCTTCACAGAAGAACCGATTTTGACACGCGTTTTTTCATTTTCAATTATCGTCGAGCAGTTAAAATTTTGCATATTCACGAGTCAGCGTCAGTTCAAGGCAAAACTCAAACAGGCGTCTCGCATTTTTAACAAAATTCACTAAGGCGGATCAGTGCGAATCTGTACAGGGTAGATTTTGCACACACACCGATTTCGTGTGTTTTGCCAGTGCATTTTGCCCCAATCAAATAAAGGATGAAATTATTAGCAAATTCTCTAGCTAATAAACGCGAAAGCGATAATGCTACAGAGGATTTCAGTCAAGAATGTTATTCAAAATCAAGGGCTTTACGAGTTGGCAATTTCTGATTTAACTTAAATTAGGTAAATACTTGGTAAAAATTGGACGAAATGTGTTCACCACCATTTGAATTAATTTCTAGCAGAAAAAATGGATTTTTATTGGGATCAGGTGTTGGAGATAGTGAAGTTCTCTCGAACAGTTTGCAGCCGTCTTGTTTGCTCCCTAACCGAAAATCGTGTCATAGGGTTACCATAGCGACGAGTAGCTCTAAAAGCAGGCAAATTCAGCAAGACTATTCTCCTTATTTGCTGCCGAACATCGTGCACAGCCTACACCAAATTACGCATCAATTTCTAATTTGGTTAAAGGTCATCTAGGGTGTGGAAAACCAAGATCATGAGGACATAGTGATCTGCTTTAATATGCCCTCTGGTTAGCACCGTAATTGCCGCATGGATACTGGAGTTGCAGAATGCAACCGAACACTTTGATTATGACCGTAAATTTATGGACCCGGGTCAAACCAAGTCGGGGCTGTCATCAGCGTCGTCGTCGTCGTGCGGTTGACCAGCCCCCGGGGGGACGCGTATGAGAGGCGTGCGGACAAGACGCGGTTTGTTTAGGCTACAAGGGGAGGGGACAAGGTTGCGAACTAAGGCACCAGTTGTGGAGATGGTCTGTTGCGTTTTATGACTTTAAGGTTAGCTTTAAGTACATTAGGGCAAGACTTGCCTGGTCACGATGCTAGGCCAGTGAAAGTCTTTTCCTGTGGTCGCCTTCAACCAGTTGTATGAACGTTCGTGTTTACGGTTTTGTTAATCATACAAGAAAAGCTCACTGATGATGCTGTCGTTAGTTTATAGGAAGTCTGCATGCGTAAAGCATGAAGTCAATGTAAATTGCTCTGAACCTCAGCCTTTAGCACATAAAGTGTAGGAAGAAGTACCAAATTAGTGGCTGTACGGCGGGAGGGTTAGTCGCGTTAAACAGTATTTTAATTGTTACGAATATCAGGACACAGTTAAGTCATCTGCGATGACGAGAACTAGGCATCGAATTGAATTTTGCTGTCAATATTATCAATTTTCGTCAAGTATTTAAGTGTTCACATCAGTCTGAATAGATGTGGGTTGATAGAATGGGTTTAAAAATCAGGTTCCCCTATTTTATTTCAGGAATTTAATACCTATTTACTTTATTCACTTAGAGGCCAAAAAGATTGCTCTTAGATAATTTGAATGTAGTTTGAGTCGTGTGTTTTACAATTATTGTTAATTATAATTCAAATATTTGGTCAATTCGTTTCCAATGGAATGTTTACGGATGTTGTCACAACAATATTCCTTGAAAGCTCAACTAAACAATCAGGATCTTTGGGAAAGGTGTTACTTGGTATTTGTGAGTAGATGAGCGAATGTGACTGTGCCCCTAGCATGAGCATGCATTCTAAATGGATTTTTATGTCAAATCCATCTCAAAACACATGACAATTTTCAAACAATGCCTGCAACTGCATTTAGTCTGTAGTTGATCACAATTTAGAACATAGTTGACAGCACTGAGTCAAAAATAAATCACAGAGACATTCTGAATAAGATAACTCAGACAATCCCCTTTTTTTGAAACGAAAGCAATGTCTAATTAATGCTAAGATTCGAAAAAAAATGGTGGGAAAGGGTCGTTGACACTCAACTCCTTGCCGATCCATGATCATCAACACAATCCGAGTATTTTTCTGTGACCCATAACTGTACTTGTGATATCAGTAGACGAAGTTTGTCAAAAGACGGATACAGCTGATAGGAGAGAAGAATCACCTTTTAACGATAATGGAGAACTGTGGACATTTTTATGACATAGGCGGAAAGTATGGGCTGTGCATAAAAAGCCAAACAATTATGATGACGTAGTGGTGCTTTTATTTAAATGCCCACTTGGTTTCTGCATATTATACCAAAATCTTCAGTGTAAGGGCCATGACAGGAATGAGGCGATCGTCACAAGCAAGAACCCAAAATTGGGAAAGTTGAACATGAAATTAATTTAAGCTCCTAGTTGCGAACTTGATAATCACCACACATGCATTGATATGGTGTGGTGTTGTATAAAACAATTTATTGGCGTCAGTAAAGTTATTATAGTAATCATAGTTCAACTGGCAATTTTATAATAAATTTGCAGCTTAATCTCAGGTGCTCTACGCTAGAATGAAAGCCACTACCCCATTGTATACTGTGTCATAATTACGCTTATCAATTTCAAGCCTAAATCTAAAAAAAGCTATGAAATTTAATTATCGAAAAGTTAAGACTGTTTGTGTTTATTTTGATAGCTTTTTCGTTGCCATTATTAAATGGAAATGGGGTGATAATTATTTAACAACATATTTTTGTGTCGTTTTAAGTGCAGGGTTGAGATTCGTGTTTCGTTTATTCTAGATTATATAAAAGTAATATTTAACGAGGATAGTGGTACTCAGTTTGAAGTTGCCAGATTTAGCCAAAAAGTACTTCGAGGCTACGACTATAAAGATGTATTAAAGTAAAGTTTCCCTCATGCCTGTCCTAGTCAAGTGACTCGTCGTGCAGTGGGTTTTATACAGCACTTTAAAATATCCAAGGACAGTGACTGAAAGCCACTTAGTCAGTGGACTAAGAAAACTCTAGTTTATTTAGTCTGGCACATTTTCAGTCATAGCATATCAACTGTAACGGTTGGAAACCCGGTGAGGGTAGATTGCTCAAAGAACAAGCTAATATTTTATTTTAAAAATTCTACGAGCCAATTGTAAGACTTGTTGAAAAATATTTGGGAACATTTCTAATTCGTGGCTTACTTTTATAACCGAAAAATATTTTATTGGGTACTAAGCTGCATTCGCCTTTAAGAATTAACTTCATTAAAACTGCAATAAATGGCTTGAAAAATAAAAAAAGGGTAACATTCAATCCTAGATGTAAAGGTGATATTTATTTTAGGAATATCTCACCTCAGCATATCATGTCAAACTTCAATGCCCTAACTTTATTAGCCAAAGTATCTAGCGTTACCTATATTAGTATTTTGTGCAAATTTATAAAAAAAGCATAATAAATGAGTGGAAACAGCCATATTCAAACGTTCTTTTAATCGCATTCGAAGACAATGAAAAGATTGATTAAGTGGAATCAAATATTGCGCGTTGAATGCGCGGTTTGCGAAATTGTCTGGTTTTGATGTCATCAGAAACGTACCTGTTATATTTTATAAAGGATCTCGTAACCCCCCTCCAAAATGTAGCCTTTGACGCCGTTTCTGGTTACGAAAATCTGCAGCCTATTTGGATTAGTGGCGAAGAAGCCGTCACGAAATTTCAGGATCATTCTCCCAAGAACTGTTGTTTTATCATGGGCAGATTTGCCGGTGCAACTTATGAGCATTTTAAAGCCTTGGGTTCATCTTTGTATGGTCCTCAAGTTCTGCTTGATTATCTTCGGGAGGAAAAACCTCTTCCAAACGTTTCGTACCCTCTTTTCTCCACTGCTCTGCGAAATGCGATTGTAACTGTTACTTCGGTTACTGGTTTGGAAAGGGAACGCCTTTTTTCATCAATCGAAATGCTTCATGGCATTGCTTCAAGGGACTTGACAGATGATGTTAACGTAATTATTGCACCGAAAGTTGGTTCCAAAAAGTATATTGTCGGAGCAAGTCGCGGTCTTCATATTTTGACACCCGATTGGATTGATGAAGCGTGGAAATTATCTGAGACGGTTGACCCAATTGATATGCTTCAACATAGTTTTATTTTAAAATTTAAGTTACCTATTTTTGCCCAGCTCGTAATCTGTGTTTCCGGTCTCTCCCTTGAGGAGAGAAAAGAGGTTGCTAAAATCGTATCGAGCAACGGTGGACTTTATTCAGGTGAAATGAAAATTGGAATAACAACACATTTGGTCGTTAAAAGTGCTGGCGGTGTTAAATATAACTTTGCAAAAAAGTGGAAAGTTCGTATTGTCTCTGTGCGTTGGCTGACAGACTCCGTGAACAAAGGGTACGCCTTAGATGAGTCGGATTATCCCGTTAAAGAAGATAATCAACAGCTTTTAAAATGCCAGTTTTCCACGCCTACGTCTTCGTCGAGTGTCAATGGTCCTAGCGTTTTGGGGGACATTTCTGCTATCACTGATTCCAATTGTTTAAAGTTAGATGAAACGCGCTTCAGTTTGAAGGATCTCACTAATAACGGTTTGCCCAAAAGATCGGCTCCTGAACAAACGTATCTCTGTGGCTGTGTCATATTCTTATATGGTTGCAATTCCTCCGAATCTACGAAACTGTCGGCGATTATTCAATCTGGAGGAGGCGTCCTCTGTGCAAATGCCTCGGACAAGGTTACAGAATCTCTTACGCATGTCGTGTTAGGAGCTGATTCACAAACCGTTCCGCCCCCTGACATTGAGCCAGGAGTATTTTACGTAACATCCGAGTGGCTTGAAAGTTGCAACCAACAGCGAAAACGCGTTCCGGAAAGCGAATTTGAGGCCCCGTTTCTACTGAAAACCCATGCCACTAATGAACACGCTTCGGTTGAAAAACCAACAGAAAGTCAGGTGGACACCGAGGAGATTCGTCTAATAAATCAGTATTTTGAGAATGGTGGACTCAATGATGTGGACGATTTTATTTCCATCGACAGGAATCCCGAAGGGTCCGCTGGAGCCATGAAAGTTGTTACGCCTAAATCCTCCAGCATTGAAGAAGTAACGCCTTTAGATGTGGGGTTGTTCTCACGACTTCGTTTCAAGCCTAGTCCCAACTTCTCCCTCACGGCTAATCCCTCTTTGTCAGAATTGATCTCAACCGATGGCGGCACCCTAATCAACGACTCTGCAGCTGCAGCTGACTACCAAATTTGCCCCTACGTTATGCGCCAAGAGGTTTCTTCCTCAATGATAACCGTTTATTGGATAAACAGCTGCGTTGCTGCCAAAACCCTGCTCATTTCCGAACTCGACACGCAGATTGGTTTCCACCCCGTCTACATACCAGCTTCCGCCCGTCTCCCCCTTGAAGGCTGTGTAATTTCGCTAAGCGGCTACGTTGGCAACGACCGCACCTTTTTGACCGAATTCGCCCGAGCTTTGGGAGCCACTGTTCAGGAGTGCTTCCTCCGAAAGCCTGTCCCCTCCAGAAATCTCGCGGCCAGCACACACCTTGTTGCGGCCAAACCAGATGGCAGGAAGTTCCCCGCATCGATTCAGTGGGGTCTACCTGCCGTGTCCTGTAGTTGGTTATATGCTTGCGCGACTTCTGGCAGGCGTGTTTCCGAAAAAGACCATCCAGTGCAAGAGGACGACCCAATGAACCCCCAGGACTGGTCCCACATTTCATTGCCTGAGAAAACACAACGGCCTTCGCTCACATTTAAAAGCACTCCCGTTGGTCAGTCTCCCGGACGCAAGTCAGCGATAGGTCAATTAAAGACTCCAGCATGGGTGGGAGCTAGCAAACAAGTGGAAACACCATCTGCGAGGTCGTCAGACGCCTTCCACGTGTCTCCACCCTTGTCCGAGCAGGTTTCACGTTGTCTGAAGACTGCGCTCTCGAAAACAAACATGCTACCGAAAAGAAACCTTGCAGAAACTGGTTAGTGCCCGTAAATTCTGACGCACAGGTTTGCCCATTTTAGTTCCGTACGAGTTATTTGCCTTTCAGACTTTTGTGAGCCAACTAAGAACTCGGGCATTCTTGTCGGTGTGGTCGCTTGTGTCGCGAAATCCCTCAGTGAACGCCAGGTTGAGCTGAACAACATTTTGAAACAACTGGGAGGTGATTTTAGGTGGAACTTTGATTCAAATGTATGTGCGATATTTTTTGGTTACCAAAGGTCATTTCCTAACTCTGTTTTAAAGACTGTCCACTTCCGAGCTAGGGATTTTCGCTGTTTTAGTTGTATTGTTTTTCATTGTTCGCATTGGGGCTAACTACTTCATTTACCGGCAAAACGATGAATGAATGAACAAGTAGACATGTTTATAGCAACTATCTTTGTTAAATTTTATCGTCCAATTGCGTGGCTCGGTGGATTAGCTGGTGGAAAGCCGGACTCAACTACGCAAATGTCTCGTTGTAGGTTTGTACTCACATGATAGCCTGTCCGTCTGCCTCAATGCTGACTACCGCCTCTCCTATGCCCCCAGCGAGGCACTCCACTGTCCCAAATCCCCTTGCTCCAGATGTGCAAAGTGCACTTGAACACCCCAGAATCAGAGTTGTTCTTCCTGAATGGGTCTACGAGTGCCAGCGCCAGGGCAAACGTCTACCTGAGAAAGATTTTGCCTTTCAGACTGATTCCGGTAATTTTTGCCGATACTTAGCACACGTGCTGGCAAAGCATTGGGCTATTGTCTACAATAGGCACTCCCTTTTATCAGTAGTCACTTTTTGGAGGTGCGTACTAATTAATGCGACGTTGGTCTGCACTTTGTTAGAGACTGGCCTGCTTTCACTAGAGGATTCTCACGTTTCAAACTGAAGATCTCCTTTATTGAGTTGTCCAATTCGGTCTACTTAAAGGACTTCCAACCTTGTTACCGTGCTGTTGCAAATTTTGACTACAGCATCGTCGTAAATGCTAGGAACACTTTCATGAATACAACCTCGCGCCCGTGTCACACGCTCTCTACGAGTTATTTGCGGTCTTTGGCATTCCTTGCCCCTACATGGAATTCGTGTTACTTTTAGGCACCACGGATGCTTCAGTCAAACCCCCGTCGCCTCTGCAGTCCACCAAATCGTCCCTCCTGGGTGACGTGGCTCGTCGTCTTGAGTCGGTGATGGGCTCCAAGGCGCAGCAATTCACCGACGAGTATGGCTTCGGGCTCGGCTGTGGCGGTGACGTCATCGCTAAGACTCCCTTGTCTCACCGAAGGTCGCATCGGGCTCCCCGTCCTGCACCCTCCGTTGAATCTGGCTTGAGCGACATCTCCCCCAGTGCCTTGGCCAATCCACCTGTTGAGTACGCTCTTCCTGGACAGGCTCTACAAGTAAGGCCTGTGGTGGCGTTGGTCGTTTAACTGGGTCTTGGAGACTCATAATTTCACATTCTTTCGCCACAGGTGCGATGGCAGTACGAGGACAATATCAACATCAAACCTGAAGTTCCGCCCCCCTGTCCAGTAAACACGACCTCTAATGGTCCCGTCCAGCCACCTCCAGCGTCCGAAAATTTAATCGCCGGAAGGTTGGTGTTGTCTTATTCTACTACTCCGATTTCAGTAGCTTTGTTATCCTGAACACTGTTTGCTTGTGTCTTAATAGGGCATCTGCGGGAACAGTGCCTCAGAGGACTGCCGACCCCAAACGTCTGCGTGTTTTCTCACTAAGTGGTGTGAATCAAGACGAGAGAGTGCGTTATCAGGCCATCATCAGTGAACTCGGCGGAGACCTCGACCCTGGCATGTCCATCGGTGAGGCCACAACTCACCTGATAATCCACGCCCCCAGTAAGTCCTCAACACGCTCAATTATTGATTATCAAGGGGCTGTGGCGCTAACGTGTGTGCGTCTATGCGTAGGTCGGTGCGAGAAGTTCCTCATGTGCATGGCCTCGGGCAAGTGGATTCTGCACAAGTCCTACCTGGACGCCTGCGCGACGGCCTCGACGTGGCTGCAGGAGGACGCGTACGAGTGGGGCGGTCCAGGCACCGAGCCCCTCCTGGTGCAGCTGTCTCCCGCGCAAAACCGCAGCGCCCCGCCGGGCACCCTCTCGCCCGCTCAGCTGCGCGATCTCGCCAGGGCGGCGCGCTACTGGCGTCTGGCTGGCGGCGAGGCCTTCGCCGACTGGCGGGTCATTTTTGGGCCCGGCTGCGACAGGGAGACCAGTTTCAGGCGGATCATTGAAATCGGCGGCGGGAAAGTGAGTTGTTTGGTTTCGTTTCGGCGCCCCTATTGGTCACAGTATGCGTGCGCCCGCATTGTGAGCTACTTGAGGTCTAGGGACTACCATTTCGTGCTTTTTTTATCCCTTCAAGCCGCTAAACAAGATTAACCCTTCCTTTCTTGCTTGCTTGTTTGTTTTTAACCAGACTTCTTAACCGCACTTAAATCTCTTGATTGCATTAGCTCAACCTCTCAGATTCTCACCCAGCCATCATCCTCACCTTCAAGAAATTATCAAAATAAACATGGCGGATAATTTTTGTTTAATCTTGACTATTTGGACTGGCTTGTTTAAATCAGTGCCGATAGTTGTTCTTCTGCAGTCACCCGTTGTTTGTAGAGGCCTTATAATGCGTCCTTTGATTGTGACCTGGTCGTTCCCCACCTTACCCTATTTTTCTCGCAACCCCAGTGACAAGCGACTGTAAAGCCGACACGTCCATCGGGTTAAAATTAAACTCACAAGTCTCACTAAGGGATACAATAATAAACACACCTTTTTTTGTGAAAGTTTAAGACGACTCAGACACGTCGAATCCGTAAAGACTACAAGTCCAGACGGGGAGTGGCTTTTACTTTTCGCTCTTCAAGTCAGCTAGTCGTATTTGGCGCTCAGCGGGAACCAGAATTAAAACAACGAATAAATCAATAATAATAACAACACGGTAAATGTTGCACTTATGGCCTTCCTTCGATAAACTATTAAGTGAAAATGATTTACATAATTTCCACAATCAGCATTAGATTTACTGGGGCCAGTCGGTTATGGTTGTTTTGCAAAAAAAAGCTTTTTTACCCCAACATCTCACAAAAATATGATGCCTTGTGTGAGTTTCTTATCTGTTGGTTTGATTACGAGCATTTTCAAAGTTCACTGGCATTACTACTGTTAATTGTGGTAGTAACACGAATATACTGCTGTAAATAGTCTAGCCCTCTCTTCACTTGTTTTATCTAGGCCCAACATAACCGGTAGTCCCTTGGTTTGCCCTCACTTGAGATTAACTTTCGCTTATGGACCTCAGATGTACTTGTGTGTTCTTTTCACGTTGTTGCACTTAATGGCAGTAAAGTGCAAGCTTATCGTTTGTTTAGGTCAAAAGTTCAAAGCCTGCATTCTTTAGCATCTGCTAGTGGGGTTTCATCTACTCGAGTTCCCGAAATAAGTAGCACTTTTATGAGTAGTGCTTGCTTATTTGGCAACTGTTTGCCCGGGCCAGGGGTAGCACTCGTGTAAAAATCCCTTCCGTATAAGAATACACCCAGTTTTCAGAATGTCGTTAAATTTATGAGCCGTAGTGCGCTCTACACGGAAGCTGGTGGGACATTAAACCCCTGCTTCCTTTTATCGGCTAACGGGCTTCATTTGTCTTAAAGCCTCTTCCCGTCCCCATCCCATTGCCCCCGTGTGTCTCGCGTTGTTTTCCGCCGTCATCGTAAAACTCCCGTGGACTGCTAATTTCTGCCTCGCGTGACTCATGCCTTGAGTGCTTTCGTGCGATGAGTCATGCACACCTCTGCTCCCGCAAATGGCCTTTTCGTTGCCTCATTTGGTGGCAATATTGCCTGCAACCCCGTCGCGCTAATCCCACGCACATTGTGCCCCAGTGGGAAGTCCATTCTGCTAGCCTGCTTTTGCGTTTGATGGCTTAATTCCTATAGAAAAGGGGTAGGAAGAGGTGTAGTGAAGGGCATTGCTCGTCACCCTCAAAAGACGGCGACTGATGTGACTTGACGGGGTTTTAGAAATTCCTAAATCGGTGTCGCTTACATTGCGATCCGGGCTATTTGGGGAGATCTGAGTTAACTTACCTCCACACATCTGAGCGCAGTGAAGGATAGCTCACGTCTAGTGCATTTCGATTTATGGATAGGAGCATTGTCTCGAAGCATCTACGCACACTGACAATGCGTTTGTTTTAAAAACAGGTTTTATGCTATGGACCAATCCGGGTCTGTGGCGGCAACCGTTCACTCGATAGACTGCTGGTTCCTTCGTTCTCCATGTACAAAAGGGTGGCTGTTTTGGACCGCAGTGTAGTTGGCGTGATATTGGTGCTTAGGTGGAGAGCAGTCCCTGTTTTTTGAGTCCAAATTGTTGTCATTGCAAAAGGCAGCATTGATGGTACTGGCAAGGCCATTGCATTCACAACAAAAGTACGACGAAAGCAACGAGTACTACTCTGTTTTAGTAGTCCCTATGCACGGCTTGGTTTGCGAAGTGTAGCTATTCTATTTTGGAATTCCTATTTGTCGATGGAATCAGCCTCTAACTGCTTCCACTGTTAACGTTGAGCTGACGTCAGCCAGATTTTAATCCTGCAACTATCTCCGTTGTTGAATTACTCCGCACTCGCTATCTCCAGCCGTCGCCTCGTGAATTTATTTCCCCTGAACGAGTTACTCTTCAGAATGACTCGTTTTGGTCTTTCCTTCCTTTCTTCACCAACGGATTAAGTCATTGTCAAATCCCCCTGAATGTCTATCCCACGTTGAAGGGAGAGGTATATTATGCTCCCACGTGAAGTACTTGTTTTTTTCTGTGAACGCTGCGTTACTCTTTGATATGGCATTTTTAAGTTGTGTTCGCAATGAGAAGACAAACTTGCCGCTTGGATCATTGGTCAGGTCCACCGAGTCTGTTCTCCACTCGACAATCGTGGCGTTTAGTTACACATTTTAACTTCCGTCTCAGGTCCTGTGCTGATTTCCGAATTTCCGCGTTCTTCCGTCAGTTTAATCTCTACGCCGCATAATCTCCTAGTCTCTCATTACCATTCTCCAAACCACAATAAGCGGGGATTATTTTGGCTGAACTGTGTTTATGTGCTTTCGTAGATTCACAGATCGGTAGAAAAATATGCTTACTCACATCTGCTACTCAACGCAACTTGTGTGTGTCAAGATTCGGTTTACTGATTTGTGAGTGTTGAAGACTAGAGGCATGGATTTTCATGTTTGTCACTGCGAAATTTAACTGCTTCACAGCAGTCGCCTTTACACGCTTGAATTTCAGTGTGGTCGGACGAATCGCTGCGTCATCGGGTCCCATAATCTAGCCAAATTACATCTAGGTGAAATTAGGCATAATCTGGTTCGCCAAAGAGGTGCGTGGGATGTTCTACCAATTTACTGCATCACAACAATTTCCTTACAACTGATCTCTGTTTAAATGGGAATTTACCCCTAACGGTGCACCAATTAGTAAGCAAAACTAAACCAACCAAATCAACGTCTGTAATATGTATTCGTTGATTTGGTGTCTTCTATAGCAAACGAACGAGTGCTAAAAGTGTCTGAACGACTTTTAAGTCACTAAAATGTACGCAAATAATCCCTCAGTGTTTCGTCTTGATCACTACTGGTATCGGATTTCACCAAGTTGTTGATTTTACCATTTCGAAAGTCCGTTCCCCTTTTCAATTATTATTATTCTAAACTTCATTTTAAGGCCATACGTGGATACTTACACTGGGTGCATGATTAATCATTTTTGCCAGTAAATTGATACTTCAACGTATTGTCAATGTTTTAATTTGTTGAAATTAGGACCACTTCATGGGGAATATGGTGCAACTCACTTCCGATCTCGTGCTGTCTTTAGTTAATTTGTTGGCAACTGGGGCATTTCGATTTCTTGAACAGGTTCGCCGACCGCACCTCCCAACCAGTCATGACTAGATCCCAGTAGATGTGCGCCTCTCAACACTTCACACCCACCATAATTCTTCCCCCAGCACTTGGCTTCTCGGCAAAGTGTTTAGGGATCAGTGCGAGACTATTGCATGGAGTTATTTTAACTCGACGCAATTGTTTATTGCGTGAAACCTTTTTCGAATTATGTACCCACGTTGATCTACAGGGCTTTTCGCTCCTCTTTTGCAGATTTTTCGCCCACCCCAAGAGGTATTGGGCTCGACTGTCTTTTTTGCGTGTTCCTTCGAGTCTTCATTTGTTTTTAAGCAGATCAGATCGATGTGAAGCAGTCTCACTGACCACAAAAAAAGAATGCCTCGAAAGCCTCTTGTGTTTAAATATCGATCACTCTGACTTGTATCTTCCACCCTAACTGCTCCATGATACCACTGATTGTAGTTACAAAATAACCAATCATTTGCGCGTTCTTCTATCCACCTCAGGGAAGAAGCCACGCTAGCTTTTGCAACTGCTGTTACCCACGCAGTCGACAATTAGTTGTTTTGCCCTTATCATTTGTTCACCATGACTCATCGCCCATTGTATTTTTGACTTGCTAGGGTTTTTCTGCCTGTGCGTTTTCTGGCCAAATTCTTCCCATGCATTGATTCCCATTGTGCGCCCCGTGTTAAATTCATTTTCGCCCTGGATACCACTAACTGGCTCCACTTTCATTCAACTACGATGCCGATAATTGAACTATCTCCGACGTTTGAATTGTGGCCTGTGTGTTTCGGGAAACGTAGATACCGCCAATCACCACCGCACAAGGGGACGAATTTAGGTTTACGATTTCGGGAGGAAATCACGAATTGCCCTGGCCACCGAAGCTGCTCCTACCTACCAAGCATCGTACCTGTTACCTGGCAGATGACTGCTGCGCACATCGTGTGTATGGATATTCCCGTAAAATTGCGTCGTACTTCACCTAATTGTGCATCGTTAATCCATCACTACCCGCTGCTTCCTGCGTGTTGCCGATTTTCTTGATCCACATTTCTGCGTGTGTTATTTTAGGCTTACTCTCTGTTCGAGAATGTGATTTTTGTTGTATTGGCTAGTTGGATTCTTTTTATTCGCGAATTTCCACTTATTCTGCTTCATTCACACCAGGAAACGATAAGTCCGCGTTAATTTGTGCCAAGTTAGTGTACACCAATTCTAGTACTTATTGAGTGCTTTTGACCCCTGTCTCAGACGCAAGCAACCAGTCTAAGTGAGTTGACAGTCGCATGCACTTAAGCGCCTCCTTAGTCGACAATCTCGCTTTCCTTTTTCCAGTGGTTCGTTGACGTCTGTCTACTCCTTCCGTTCCTTTTGTCCCTCCGTTTCCGTCTCATGTCTTTTACAAGACCTTTTGGGGTGTTTTGCATGCACCTTTCTTTCTTTTCCGGGGGTCGGATGTTGGTAGCCCTGTTTACTATTTCGCGTTGCCCTTTTCTCTTACAGTTCCCCACGTCGTTGCCATCACCAGCCTGTCCGTATAATCCTTTTTTTAAACACAACCCGTATCACGCTGTTGATAAGCCTTCACACTGAAGTTATGCTTGATAGTGAGTCGGCAGCTGCTCAGTCATCAACACAAATCTCTTAATCCAGTCACATTATCAAGTCAAAATTCGGGTGGATTTCTGATTTGGGTAGTTCCGTCGGTGCTTTACAACATACCACGAACCTTTGTTCGACAAAACATCCTTTGCCTCTGGTCTTATGTGAAGTACTAGTTGCATCAGATATTGCAGAATCTGTGGTAGAAAAATAGCATTTACGAGGTACTTGACACACCTTTGTTTTCGCGCACAGACCGGGGGTTTATTGAATCAGACCACTTCATGTTTCCGATTCAACTTCAATGCAGCTTCTTAAGTGTCTGTGGTCAGATGATCGTTATTCAATTTATGTCCCACATTCCTGAGAGCGGCACTTAATAAATCTTTTGTGTCAATGGCGACGCCTGTCTTCCCTCTCAGCCACCACGCCCCACGCTTTTCAGTCTGGTGGGATAGGTGGTACCATATTCGGGCGAAGGTGGCCTTGTTGTGTCACGTCTTAAATTCTACTGTCTGCGTCTCTTCAAATCAGATAAACATTGTGCCGTGTTTAGGTGGTATGGGGGAGCCTTCATTTACCCGGGTTACACGTTTCGGTCGGGCTTGAATCGTCTCCCTCCCCTGCACAAATTCTCCCCTGATTTCATAATTCGTTGTAGGCCTAATGGGTGTCTTCGATATCCCCAGCTGATTACAAGCTACCCCCGGTGACGTGCTGGGGAGTTTTTATTTGCTAGCTTATTTTACGACCTTATTAAACTCCTCTCTTTCTCTCTTTCTCTCTTTCTTTCTCCAACTACTCGAGACGATTTCACTGTATTCTAGACGCTCCTTCCTACTGGTGACGTCTGAGCACCAGTGACTGGATAGTAATTTTGTCACCTGTGTTCATTTATAAATTGGCCCTAAATTTGCTTTTTAAATTGTTATTGAGAAATGTGGGGCTTTATACTGCTTTCCGGAGATGCCAGTCCATTTGCCCTCAGTTCAACTGATTCCTCAAAAATTTGTTTTGGTATTTTGTAATGCAAACAGTTTTTCTTATCCTGGGGGGCCTTCGTCTTGTATTTCCATGGAAACGGTTGCTATCTTACCACGGTTGTCAGCCTTAGATCACGCCAGTCTCTCATTTCGTTGCATTTTTTCCCATCACGTCCTCTCTACACAACCTTCCTTCTGGGGCTCGTTCTCCCCTGTCTGCAATTAATTTTAATTAGTATACCAGTGGGCTAAGGGTTTTTTATTTCTTCTTCTCTTTTGACCAGGCAAATTTAGTATTCTGGATGCCTGTCGAAATTAACCAACCCTTTTTAGCTTTTAACAAAACTACTTCCTGATCCAATCGCTTGCTGAAACCATCCTTCCTTGTGCATTTAAGGAAAATTTGTGATTGGTTGCTTGCTCTGGTCAATTGATTTTCGAGTGTTACTGTGTCTCTTCAAGTCGCGTTTTTTGTTCCAGTAGCTGGCGTGGTGGAATTAATATTGAGCGTAAAATTTTTAATGTGTCCTCAGAAAACCATCATCATGTCAGTGTAGAGATCAACATGTCAGATATTGGCGTCTTCTTCCGGCTCATTTGCGATCTACTTAGCTCGTTGTATTTAAAATTCAAACCGAAACTAACACCCAGACACCGGTCTATTAGTCGCACACTTTCAACCTCTAATTCAACTAGTCTGTTACCACCTACCCATCTTTGAGTTGGCTGGTGTCGAAAAATTGCCGTATCTAGTCGCCAGACGCGCCACCTGATTCAAACTATGTCTCTTAGTGTTTACGAATGCCAGGTGCTTGCAGTCTCATGCGAACGCGAAATTTCATGTGAATTATTCAGGTAAAGAACTTTAAAAAGCCACTGTTTGCCGATTTTGAGAAAGAATTTCTCCTCTGCGTGCTCAGTTATAAGATGGTCGACTGTTTATTTATCCTGCACAGTCGCCGATTGTTTACATAATCGGGTCGCCGCCAACCGCGCACACGACTTTATCTCGCCGTGCATAATTTGGCCCTTCGGTTCGTGCCAAAATTCATTTTCATTTTTTCACTGCTCACACGTATAAGACTCCTCGCCCTCTCTCAACCACCACACCTCCTGCATAGAAGCCCAGTCGAAGCATAACCAGTTAAATTAGTGGCTGTTCATCGAAGGTAGCACGAAAGTCACCAGATTACGCGTTTCCAAGCGGTCTTCAGTAGGTCTCCACTCTGGAGCTTTGGCAGAGCTGGTTTTAATATCCTATGTCGGTAAGCCGACGCCTGCACACCTATCTTAGAGCTCGTATTCGTTGTTATCAATCTTGGGATCTAATAACAAGGGGAGATCTTGTGGGGCATGATGTGTCACTGTGTGTGCGTGTGTTTGGGCGTTTTTGTTCGAGCGTTGTTAATAGAGCATGTTAGCTAAATGTGGGGTCTGCTGAGGGCAAGGGGACGTCCCGTGCGCAATTTGTCTTCAGATAAACCTGTTGGAACGAGTTTCGAAGGCCGCACAACAAGCCGCATCCACTCCTTCTAGTTATGGTGGTGTTCTCTGCCGACAGACAAATTCATGCTCAACTGATTTACTGAGGCTTATCAGATCGAAGTTTCGTTCAATCTGCCCCCATCACCCCTGGGTCAGGTGTTGCGGAATCGTCACGGAACGCCTTCCGGGTAATTGGAGACGTGACACGTCTTTCGACTTTGCGTAAACGTTTGGCCATTTTAATTAAGCACATGAACCCACGTCCTCCTGTGACTGTTCAGCCGACTTGCCCGAGGTTTTTAATGGTTTGACTGGGCACATTTACGTCTACTTCAGAGGGGTTGCGGCCATCTCCCGTGCCTGCATGAAGCAGGCCTCTCACAAGTAGCTTGGGCTGGTGTGCCACTGTCACACACACGAACTCCTGGCAAGTATTTGATTAATAGGACTTCGGTCAGATCTGGCAACACTGTGTAGCCCTTCTCCCTGCTCTCTTTAGGGCTTGTCAGTGCCACTGACTATTTGTTTTAACCAGCCGTGACTTCACCTCCGTTTGAAGGCATCCGTCAAAATGCCAGTCCGAGTTTGTTGAGATTTTTGTGTTTTTTTCCCCCACGCCTTTTCACACTGTCTTAATCTCTCAGGTAATGTGTAGAATAGACAATGTTTGGATCCTGATTTACTTGTCTTTTGACATTACTGTGCAATTTTTCTCAGATATTGCGCTTTTTTTAGGTGTGAAGACCCACATGTGCCCGTTGGTCTTTTCACAATTAATCAAGTGTTACCTAGCAAGACATTTTCGAGGTCCTTTCACCGTCTTTGGCACATTGAGGCCACCGTCAATGCAGCAAAATCGATTTGCGCCCCACAGCAGTGTCCTTGCTGCACACTTCTGTTGATCGATAGTCGATTCTGCCACAGCCCATCGACCACGACCTTGTCTCAGCTTTTATTGCTTTTTGTAATCTTTCCTGCCATTTCAATGCCACTACCAAGCTAAGCACAGTATCATACCTATCTTCCTTTAGCGATTCGGGATGTTAAGTTAGTGCAATCTGTAACAAGTGGACCCTTTGTTTTAATGGTGTTTTAAAATCGAATCACCACTTCTGAACTTCAAGCTCTTTTTGAGTCTGCGTTAAGTCTTCATCCAGCGGAGCTTGCGATTCCGAATCTTTAAAATTTCGAGGGTGTTCTGGAAGTGGCTGTTCAATAAGAGCGAAATCATCACTTCTGAAACATTTACAGCAATAATTACGCATTTCGTAAGAGACGAAGTTGGCACCAAGAACACTACAAGTGGATTATCGTGCTTTGGAATAATTTTTTCCCTGTTGGAATTCGTATCAAACACGGTGCCATCGAATGTGCTCTTTATTAACTGTTACCGTAAATTCTGCTATTCTGAGAGGTCATTTAACTCACATTGACTTTTTGTTCGGTGTTGTGAAACCTTGGGTCAGATCCTTTCAAAACCACGAAAGACCGTGAACACGTTCCTATTTTAAATAAAATTGTAAGCTCAAAGAAGAAATCTGGAGAAATTAAGTCATAGGCCGTATGTAATCGCCATTATCGTCACTTGTACCCCACGTTTCGGGTGTTAATACAGCGGTGCGTTGTTATTAGGTTCTGGCAAACAGCCCACCATACCCGCCAGCAGACCAAGTGACCCACGCCTTCACGAAGCGTCGCTCAAGCAGCAGTCGCTCCAGCGCGCCCCCGCCGCCACTCCCCCCCGGCTACGAGTGGCTCCGAGTGGAGTTCCTGTGCGCCCACCTCACGGGAAGAGGTAGCGAGTGTCGCGCCGAATACCTCATCAAGGAGGCGGACGACGCGGAGGTGGCTGACGCCGCGCCGGCTGCCAAACGGAGTCGTGTTGCTGCCAGGTGAGAGGGCGACGAGTGAGCTGTTGCCACCCCACCACCACCCCGTCTTCGCTTCATTCTGGTCGAAACTACACCCGCTGCTTCTCCTGTGTGCTGCTTATCTTCGATTCCCCGTCTCCTCTTGTGTACAAAAAATAGATTTTCCGTTGGTGTTTTATCTTACAAGTTGACCTCCTTGTCAGGCCAAACAGTACAAGTCACCGAGTGGTTATTGATTCAAAAACCTTTTTGCGTCTGCCTGGTTTCTAAATGCTCTCTCAAATTAACTGCGCATTTGTGGATTCTCCAATTTCCTTTGATCGTTCTAAATGTTCAAAGCACGAATTACTTGATGGCATCGTAGGGTGTATGGAGCGATATGTTCACATAAAAACGGGTGAGCCAGCTTTTGTTCCGCCATTGTCTTAATGGTAAACTGTGCTACTGCAGTTTGTTTATAGATCCGGAGGTTGGATATCTGGGGGTGGGGGTCTGTCGGGGTGGCCTGTCGGGCATAAGTAAAATCGTTAAATTGTAGCAACGTGAGAGACAAAGGAGGCGGTAGCGTGTCCTGGCTAAGCGTGCCACACCTTATCTCAAGTATCCTTTCATTGGTAGTCACTGTATTCATGTTTTGAGTGGGTGCTTACGCCAAGCCTTCCCTTTGATAGCGTTCCGGCTCTACTAGCTCCTTCAGGAGGGAGGCGTATGGGCTATTCCTAATCAATGATTGGTTAGTGGAAAGGGGGCTGTGTAGGAATGAGTTTAGAGGCTTAGGGAGGGATTCTTTGGTTGCTGGTCAAAGTTCTCAGGTCCTCGGGCAATTATAACCACCTGGCTAGGGTTTTCGTAATTAGGCTACTACCGAAAGCGCACTTGATCACGTCGAAAAACAAAAAAGAATCAGCCCCGTATAGATACAAGTCGCCGAGTTGGACACTAGTGGAGACCACAAATTTCGAGTGTTCACAAGTCACCACAATTGTATGGGCTCCCGATTTTGCCAATGACTGGTAACCCGTTGATTCGTCTGTCAATGTTAACCTTATTTTTGGCTCTAGAAAATCAATGAGCAGCCAAGGTGCCACATCATGCACCCACTTCGGGGGACGTGAACAAATATCGGATTTCAGTGTAGCCCGGAGACCGAGACTGTTTATTGACCGATATTCGACACCGTGGGAAAAGTGGGAAGGGTCCGATTTGCCGATGGGGTTTAAAGGCTGCCGCATTTAGACTTCTGTGTGGTAGGCGGTAGTATAAACCCACTTTTGATCAGGGGAATAACCCAGTTCGCCGGAAATCACCAATTCAAACTTATTGATGACGAGAGAGCTCCAGTTTTAAAGGGCAAGTAAGGCCAGAGTTTTTGCTGTTGTTTGCAAAATAAGAACTGCCGTCAAGACGCTGATAAATGCTGCTAAATAAACTGACAGAGTGTTTGGGGAGACATACTCGAGGGAACTAAAGAGCCTAGCGGTTGTATGACGCTGGGATCCGCTGACGGAAACACATACCTTCCTGGAGAAGAAAAAAAAGCTGTCAGAAATTTTATGGATTGGCAATCACTAAACAGCTTCCTTAGCAGACGTCGCGTCCCATCTGTTCAATTTCGCCCTGAGCTACGTGGGAAATGTAGCAGTTTTCTGAAATTCTGCTGGGCCCCTTGTTCTTATGTGTAGAATCACATAAGGTCTCATTCGCGCAAAATTCTAAAACTTTGAAAATTGGAGTGTGGTAGCAGACACGCCAGTCTGGGAAAATTTTGGGTTATGCGAGCACCAATGACTGGTAGCACCATAGATTCGTCTGCGAATTTCCATCTGCACCTGTTGTCTGAAGTTTGACGCCACCCATGAAGTAGTTTGCGATTTTCCCATTTTATAAAGCTTTAAAGTGATAACTTTCGTAATCGGGGGCTCGGTATGCGGACAATTGAGCTTATGTGAACTAAAGGTGTCTAATAATTTAAGAATGGTGGTCTGATGGTGGTAATATGTCGCCTTGTGTGTTCACGTCCAGCACCAGCTCCTCTACTCGTAGGAAAAATGAATGAGAAGCCTGCTGTTAACCCACAGTCATCCGGTTTCTTGACTTTTAATATGATGACGCCATCGTTTTGCGGTGTCACCGGCCCAACTTAAGTTTTTCGACCAACTGCGACTGCTGATCGCGACAATGAGTACGTCCATGTGGACGGAGTGTCTACTGCAGGTTACTCAGCCGACGTTACACATTGAATGTCTAGAATGTGTTGGTTTATTTCACAAATTATCCCTTCTGATGAAATTTCTCGACAACCCCCGTCAATGCACGCAAAGTGATCCTGGCAGGTAAGTAATGCTAGGTAGGCTTGAAATACTAAAATGAGCTCTTTATGAGAAACCCCTTTTACGATGCTACATTCAGGTTTTTAAATGACAGGACATCTCAGAATATCAGAGGCATCTAGCAGTCTCCAGGGCTAAATCTACAAGTAAAAGGTGCTTTTGTTTGATGCTTCAGTAATGCCTTGTCTAACGTGTGGGTCTCAACAAAATTTAGCTCCTATTATGTACCTTCCGAACAAGGTGTAGGAATTCAATTCGATACTCGGTAACTCCTTACCCAGTCATCAATCTTTGTTGGGAAGAATTCCGATGCATTCATGTCATCCGGCTTGTCAATGTCTTGTCACCGCACGAAAATTGCTTGTACCTGAAGAACGACGTCATGGGATAAGTCATGTCTTTAAAAAATCGTTGAACGAGAAAAGTAATCAAACCCACGCACCTATGGGATAGCAGGCTTAGAGTTCGTCATTACTTATTCCGTCCAGTGGGATAAACTTACCGCCTAACACGAAATTCATGAATAACCGTTTCAGTTTTATCAGTGTGTAATAATTTATTAGCACAATGGGTTTATCCAAACCTTTTATTAAAACACGGAATCTTGGCGCCTAAAGATTTATGGAAAGACTAACTGTCAGACAAATCTATCGACTAATGTTCTCTATTAATCGTGGACAATCAGGCCTTTGTACTTATCTTCCATTAAATGTTCTATCGCTGTAACGCGCCTACCGAGCGGGGACCCAAATAGGGAGATGACTGTTAGCCCGTCCCTCTTAGATAGCCACACCATCATGGTTAGCTACCAGGCACACGATAGAAGAATAGCTGGAAGAACCGGAAGTATTCCATACTACCGCATACAAACTCAGAGGGCAAGAGCTTTGGGAGAGTTAGAGTGGAAAAAGGGATGACCGCGAGGAGGGTTGGCGTTGTCCTCGGACTCACGGGCGTGCCTTGAGGAAGGTGAGAGTGCGGGAAGGGATAGGAGGACAACGAACAGGCCAGATCGGCGCGCGTGGGTAGAATGGCGCGCGTCACATGGCCGCAAGTCAAATGTCCCGCACCATTTCGACCATGAATAACGCACATGCTGCCAATTTTATCCGGCCAGCACGAATTCTTGAGGGGCTGTGAGGGCAGAGCGTGTCAGCATAAACAACGGGGACAATTTTATAAATTTCAACCTCTCTGGAGTAAACACAAGCACAGACGATCTGTAGTTTGTTGACATGATCGCGTCAGTGAATTCGTGCGTGAACGATGCATGGCTTTTCGAAAAACTAATCCTCGTTCTCATGAGATCCATCTTCCAAGCCTACCAGGAACTCTTTTGTTCCTGGCCCTCAACTAAGGCGTGGTGACGGTGTCACAAGCCTTAAAAGGCCTCAAAAGCAGTCCGCAAGACCGGCAATCCACTTTTTTTACCAAGACGCGTGTTTGATAAGCGGACAACGCGCAAGTCGTTGTGTCTTGTGCGCTGTTTTCATCGTTTTTTCGACCCAATTGGTGGTACAGCCCAGCCGTTCGTGAACCTCATTTGTGACCAACCGCCATATGCGCCGCCTTCACTCTTTCCCACGCACCCGCCCTACTTGAGGTGGCGTGGTCCATCCAATGATTCACGGCTCTTTATTTGTGTAGGATTATCGAATATCCCCGGACAATCGTACTCTCCCATGGGTAGTCTTAATGCCAGAGGTGCCTCTTTGTGAATCGGTGAGGTAGTTGCCTCAAGCCATCTGTGGTTCAGATCGTTTGGATAATTTCTTCGGGTGCTTTCAACCCCCTAGTCGGCATGAATAACAAAGCTCACACACATATATTAGTTTTTTTTAAGAATTCTCCTCGTCTGTGATTGGCCTCAGACCCGGAGTCAGACCAAGGAATGCACAGGGATTCCAAGCTAGATAGAAGCATTTGTCGGAGTGTACCAACGCGCCTTTTTAGTCTAGGATACTCGCTAATTCGAAACACTGCACAGCAAGAGCCCCTTTCTCTGCATCTTAGAGTACGGTTAGAGGCTTTTTTCATTTTTCGTTCTGTTTCGGAGTCAAAAGAACGCATCTCATGGTTCATTCTTTGTCATGCGGCACATTTATTTCCGCATTTATCGATAACGCAATATCCTTCCCAATTTCACTACCTTGACAAACCTATGTCATGAAGCAGACCTCGTCGGGTAAATCATGCATATTTTTGTTGGTGAGGTATATGCATTCCAATTAGGCAACCAATCTACACCAGCCATTAACACCGTACTCTTCCCCGCATGCCTGCATTCTTACTAACCAATCGAACAAAAGGGTTTGAGAGAAAGTGTGTTTAGCGTTTGAACATTCATCCACTGAGTTTGAGATGAACGATGGTAATCTGAAAAGGTGCTCAGTCTTGCGAGTGCACAAGTCTATTAGACAAGTGTGATTTGGATTAAAAACTATCAAAAGCAGTGAAGAGCTCTGAGTCTCAAAGTGATCTTGCTAGCTCTGTTGATATTGTTGGAAGCACCAACGCCCAGTTCTGAAATCCACCACTACATGTGCCTTCTTTTTCACCTTATGATTTCACAACTCTACGATCAACCAAAGCGAACAAAATTTATGTCAAATTGAGTAATGAACGGGATAAGGAATGAATAATTTTAGACATATACAGAGTATGGAATAATGAGCAATTAGTTCGCTTATAATTA